TCTCCTCCCCGACTACCCACCTCACTCGCACTCCCCACCACACTCGGCTCCGCCGACCTCTTGAACAACCCTGCCTGCTCCAACTCGCTACTGTAATCCTTGCCCAACAGCTGCGCTACGATCTTGGCCTGTCCAACGCCCAATGGGTAGGTCTCGCCGTACTTGAGGAGGCTCCAGAAGATCAGCTCGAGGTCGTCCCTCAACCCGGCCAACTGACCGTCTGGATCGATCTGCGCACGCAGCGCCGCATCCGTATCCAGTGCGAACTCCAACTCGTCCTCGATGCCATCGCTGAAACCGTGCGTCGAAATCGCCTCGGCCGCAGCAGCCTCGGCCGCTTCTTCCTCATCGATCGCATCCGAAGCGGAAGTATCCAACCCCACACCCATCGAATTGTACGTCGCGCCCATCTTCGCACTGCTCGATCCCGGACTACCCGCACTGCCCGTCGAACTCACCGCATAGCCCGCCTCCATCGCCCTCGCCGCCATCTCCGGATTCCTCCTCCTCATCCTCAAATACACCTGCGCCGCCTCCCTCCTCATCTTCTTATACTGTCGCGTAACCGACCTAGCCGCCAACACGATCATCAACGTCATCAACGATCCCACCTGCAACAAATCCACCCTCGCCGCAATGAACACCTTCAAGATCTTGATGATGCTCTGCGCTGCCTGCGCCGATTTCCTCGCAGAATCCGCCACCCGATGCGCAACCGGCTCGTGAAGCGAAATGCAGCTGCCGTACATGAGCGAGTGCGCAAGCACAAGCTGATTCGTCATCAGACTGATCTGCTTCTGCGGTCGATAGTTGACACCGTCGTTCAAGAACGGGGGCTCCTCCGACCCCGAAGACGGGCGTAGGATAGGATCGAACGCTGCAAGATCGCGCCAATGCACAGGGAAGCTCTGGATGAGCGACGACACCCAGCCGTCGAGCTTATGAAAGTTGGGCGTGAGCACATCCTGCACCGACGCATCGATGGGAAGCCTCGACATGTGACTGACGCACTTGGAGTGCAGAATCGCCGCCTTGAGGTGGAGGATGGCGGGATCGTGATGACCAGCGGTGAAAAGGTCGGGCGACTCGAGCGTCTGCCTAGGGCGGTAGACGAGGTCATCGGTGCCATTGATAAAGTCGTCAAAGGCACCTGGCAGCTCGGTCTTGATGTCGAGATCGTCGATACTCTGTGCCCAGTGCGTCGAGGAGCAAGCAGCACGATCGCTGTAGAGGCAGTTCCAGAACAGTCGAAGCCGCTCTTCGTGCTCGAGCGGAGTGGCAGCGGGTGCTTTGAGCACGGCGCGGTAGACTGCAGGCTTGGGCTGCTTTCGGGAGCCAGGGGTCGTGCGAACGTCGTGCTTGGAAGCAAAGGTCTGGATGGAAGGCAAACGGTTGAGCTCCATGCCCTTGAGCAGCGAACCTACGTGACCAGAGGAGAACCAAGCCTCGATGGAACGGTCGTTGATGTAGTAGTACGCGCAGAGCAACGCCTCGATCTGAGCCGCCTCCTCGAAGCGACCCTGCTGAGTAGCCTGCTCACCGAGCGCCTTTGCCTTTTTGGCGTGGAAGGCAGCGGCCGCCTTGAGACTGGCGAGCTTTTGGCCTGTGGCGGCGCCTTGAAAGATGTTGTGGCCAACGGCATCGGGAGGCATGTCGGCACCACGGAGTCGAGGATAAGCTAGGGCAAAGATGCTGTGGAGCAGACCCAGGCTGGGGTACCTGGGGTGTTGGGGCCCCAGCGTAAGCCTCTCCATGAAGCGGGTTGGGTGGAGGAAGAGCGATTGAGCGGTTGCCTTTTCAAAGTATGTGCATACCAACTGGTTGACGAGGTTGGGGGGCGGGAACTCGGCAGGCCAGCTGGTGACCATGAGTTCGAAGAAGGGGGTTCCAAAGTTGTCGAGGTCCATCTCGTCCTGGATCGATGTGACCTTTGCCTGCTTGTGAGCCACGCTGCGTGGGTCTGTGCGGAGGTCCGCGGCATGCGGATTAGGGTAGGCGGCACCACTGAGAGCGGGGTCGAGAACGTCAAAGCTGGCTGCATCGCCACCTGCGAGGCCGTTGGCGGCAACAGCAGCGACAGCCTGCTGATAGTCGAAGGAACCAGAGAGGGGCAGACCTGTGCCGTTGGAGGGACCCTCGCCGGAGGGCATGCTTGTTGCGAGCATGTGGGCGATCGCGAGCTCGTCTTTGGAGGGATGACGACCGTCAGCATCGACCCCGCCTTGTTGTGGGTCCAGGGACTGTCCGTTGAAGACGCCAGTGACCTGAGCGAGACGCTGCTTGAGCTGATGGATTTCCTGCTGCATCAGCAAGATCTGTTCATCGTTGGTATCATCTGCACGTTTTCGCTTCCTTGCTGCGGCAGGCATGGGAGAGCCGTCCATAGGAGGTGGCAAGGCCGAGGCAGAAGGGGTATCGGGAGCAAGGGAGGTGTCGCCATCGTGTGCAGAGATGGAAGCGCGCGCTGAGCGGTTGGAGGATCGTTGAGAGATGGGCAGGTAGACGCAAGGAGGCATGGTCTCGGGCAGGCTCTCGAGCTCAGCACGCACGGCGGGATCCTGCGCCTTTTTCTTGTTCTTGGCCTTGTTCTGAGCCATTCGGAACTTGATCTGCCAGCCCTTTGCGCACTGACCGCAGACGGGCTTCTGACCGTCGCATTTGAGCTTGCGAGCCCGACAGCTCTGACACGCCTTGTTTCTGCCGAGATGAGTACCAAAGGGAGAAGCAGATGCGCCCGCGCTCGGGGAGTCGGCTTCGGACGTGGATGCGGCGGCAGCGGCAGCAGCGGCGGCGGCTGCTGCGCTGGCCGGTGTGGTCATGAAGCCGGCGGAGCTAGAAGAGGAGGACGAGTGAGGCTCGGGCATCTGGATCTTTCCGGCGCTGGCGGCGGCAGCCACAGCCTCAAGAGCAGCGCGTGCTTCTGCGTGAGCGTCTCTGACTGGCGTGCTGAAGTTGGCGTACGAGTTGTGAGGTTGATAGGAGGAGGAGGAATGGTGGTGGTGGTGGTCATAGTCGTCGCCGCGGTCACTTTTCATGGGCGAATTTTCATGATGGGAGGCGGACTCATCGTCGTAGGCGGCTGGAGCAGCCTCGTGGCGATCGTAGCCGTCGTCCATGATGAGCGTCGTGTGTTGTCAGTTGAGCGAAGCGTGGTGGAGAAGACGTGTTGCAAGAACGGCGCGTCGGTGCAAAGCGGGTTCGATAGGAAAGCGACAAGCAAGGGATGCGAGCGAGCGCCACAAGGTGCAGAACAAGGGGAGCGAGCCACCGTCAAAGGTTGACGAGCGTCACGGCTGGCTGAAAGTGGGTGACACGTTGATGGATGGTAGGAAGGAAAGAAAGCACGTCGAGGTCGCGGATCGGATTCGGGCACACGGGAATCGGTCAACGCAAGCGCCGTCCGTCGAGGTGCGGGCTTTCTGGCTGCCAACTCGGCTTGGCTTGGCTTGGCTTGGATGCGTGGATGGATGAATGCGGTTGGCAGTTCGCTCTCATCCTTGTTTCATTTTCAAACCAAATTTGACCAAACTCGAGACTCGGTTGCCTGCTTTACAATTTTGTATTCGACGACTGTGGGCAGAGGCACACTCTAGCTAAGGGAATAATTTGTTAGGCTAACAAAACACACACAACTATATCATTAATTCAGAGGACGATAACTTAGGGTCTTTCGAAGCAGTTGCCCGCAAGCTGGCCTCGGATATGCGGAGTGCCGCTTCCAAGAGCGACAAGGGAGAGCCGAAATCAAAGGGGGAAACGCCAGAGAAGCCCCCACCGCGGCACTGCATCGCTCGCTAAGTTAGCACATCCTAGATTCCATGTCTTGGCCTTCCACCATCTTGTCCCTTGGCGACCATCTCTGCAACCATCGACCCGCCTCCCCCCTTCTGTACGGTAGCGAGCACCTTCGATCAGCACCTTCGATCGCCACCGACCGTCTCTCTCTCGCCCTTCACACGTACATACACACACTGGTCTCGTCTCGTCCTCCCATTCAGTCGCACTGTCCTGCAACTCAACCATGCCGGTCGACTCGGTGTAGCCACCTTCTGTGACACTGGTACACAATTCCACCGCACCCTGTCAGCAGCCCTTACAGTAGCATCATCGTCATGAAGTGTCTGCGCACGGCTGCTGGCTTCACAGCTCTAGGTGTGAGCCTCCTGGCTTGTGTACTGCTCACACTCAGCACAGTCGTACACGCCGACCTGTCTCTCCAACAGCAGCAGCAATACCAACCTCTGGCTCCTCGTGCCGCAGTCACGCCCTTGCCACGCTCCGTCCAAGGTGCAACACCACCGCATTCGCCCCAAAATGGCGACCACGACCTATTTCGCCGCCAAGTTGCGTCGAGCACAATCACGTCAGCAACTTCAACCTACTCGGAACTGCCCACCGCTGCCATCAGCATCGACGGACAGCCTCCTCCCTCTTCTACAGGCGATCCCTTGCTCGCCCTCATGCCCGACTTTGCCTTCAGCATGCCTGCGCAAATCGTCGTAGATGGTATCAATATCGCACTCATCTCGGTGCTTGTCATCCACCTCCTCTTCACCGTCCAATACCATTTCCCTCTCAGCAGAAAGAACTTCTACCTTCAGATCTCGAGCTCGCTCATGCTCCTCATCAGCCTCAGCGTCACGCTTCATATCGTTCTCGATCGTCTCGAATCCGAGTCGCAGCGTTACCCCTTCATGTTCCCTTACATCGGCATCCAATTACCGCCGGGCGATGACACGTGGACAAAAGTGCAAGAGGTCTTCTTCCTCCTCATGCGAGCCATCACCACCGCCCTCATCCACATCACCCACATCCAGTTCCTCACTCTGCTCTTCCCTTCGTCTCTGGAAGCACGTCTCATCTTCTGGATGCTCGGCCCCATGGCCATCATCAACTCCGGAATGGAGTTCACCGGCCTCGCCGATGATGCCGATGCAAAGACCAACGATCTTGGCGATGCCATCCGCAACATTTGCAACAGTACCTTGACCCTTCTCTACACCACCGCTCTGCTCATCTGGGGTCTCCTTGTCAATCGTCGACGAGCCTGGCGCGCAGGCGGCGGCACAGCGGCCTTCGGTGGCGGTTCCGTAGGGCTCGCTCTCATCAACACCGCCATCAGCTTCACCGAGATCAAGTACGACCGCCTCTGGTGGCTCCCTAACGTCTGCTGGACGCTCACCATCTGGCAGAGCTGGCTCGGGTTCTGGTGGTGGGTCAGCAGCGGAATGGGTATCGGCGAAGTCGAGGATCGCCAGGAGCGTCTCGAGCGTAAGAGGAAGCGCGACGAGCGCAAACGTCGCAAGCTCGAGAAGCAGAAGCACAAGCTCGCCATGCTCGAGGCCGCCGAAGCCAACATCGCCGAAGGCCACAGCTCGCAGCACGATTCCAGCTCCATCCCGGGCCTCAGCGGTTTCCGTCGTATCAAGCATCGCCTTGTCGGCGAGCCACATGCGTCCGGCACGCTCATCCGCCGCAATCGTCGTCAGAACACTTCCGGCGACGATCCCGATGGCGGCAGTGCGCAAGCACGTACCAACAGCGCCTCCACCGCTGACGACATTGAGCTCGACCAGATCCGTGTAGCATCACACAATCAACAAGATGCCCAGGAACAGCGCCCAACCTCGGCGCATGGTGCTCCTCTGACCGGTATCGCCATTCACAGAGCAGGCGAAGATGGCGACGAGCGTGATGAGCGCGATGCAGATGTCGATGCCGATGCTGCTAACAACGACGATGGCAGGACTACGGCAGGCACAGGCTCGGGATCGAGCGACTCGAATCCTACCGCCTCGTCTGCACCAGGCTGGATCTCGACCGCAGCGCAACGCTTCATGGACAGTCAGCCCAACTTTATCAAGGCTCGCTTCCGTCGATTGCGTCTGGCGCACATGGCAGCGGCGCGTAGAGCGGCGCATCAGCAGACCGCACTACGTGAGCAGGTGCTCAACTCGTCGCGCACAACCGGGCCAGGTCTTCGTCACATGATGTTCGATCGGCCCAGCTCGACGCGCACTGGCATGGACAGCAGCGCAGATATGAATGCTCTGCCCGAGCTCTCTTCAACGCTCGGCCGCTCTGCATCGTTGGGTACCAAACCGACTCAAGATACCAAGACCATCTCCACCGCCTCTTCCCTCCGCGCTGCCCGCGAGCCCAGAAGCCAGAGCACTGACGCTGCAGTATTCTCACAACGTCGCGATTCCGCCTCCACGCGCAGCTCGATTGCGCTAGCTACGCGTGGCGATGAGCGAATTCACGAGGCCGAGGACGATGACGACGAGCACGAGCTAGACTCGACATCTCTGCGAGGAACCTCTGAAAGCAGTTCGTCTGTTCGAAGAGCGCTCAGTTCGGCCAATGCCGGAGTCACATCCCCTGCCTCAGATCACGCTGTCTCTGCATCAGCACGAGCAGAACCACCTGCAGCCGGACCCAGCAGCACAGCCATCACCTCGTCGCAACCTCGTCACATGTCACCAGGCGCGCCTGCAGCCGCGAGGGATGAAGACTGGGAAGATGTGGACGCGGCGGCTCCCACCGGACGCGGCAGCACTGCTGATTCTACGCACGTCCCCCACCGTGTCAGCTCACGCAGCACGAGGGACGACGGCAGCGATGACGATGATGCAGACGACCCTAGCTGGTTCTGGCGCGGAGGTCTCCGCAAGATGCGTCTGCGCGACCGCACGACCTACGATTGAGCCAACCTTTCCATCCCGCACTTTGCCCCCTGCTTAGCTTCATACCCTCTGCGCACAGCTGCACGCTCGTCCGGCCAACAACTCTACTTGCGCTCGTAAACACTCTGTATTTGTAGTCTCATATCCTTGATATTTCGCATGGTTTCAGCATCTTGAACCGCTTGTCGTTGCGCAGTTGAGAAGAGTCTGTGCGCCATGCATGGCTGGAGTCGCACCCAGAAATGATTTGTGAGCGTTGCATAGGAGCAGTCGATGGATGTCGTGTGCTGCGCCTCGCGTGCGCACTTTTCTGTCGTGCGAGGCCTCCACACAACTCGTCTGCGCAGCGCAGCAGGCGTGCACGGTGCAGTGCGAAGAAATTCCAAAAGGATCATTTCAGTCAGAGCCTTGTCTGCTTACCATCCAACCACCTCCTCACCACCCACCACCAAGCACAGCCCTTCAACCTTCAATTCTGTGTGCATCTTCATTGTCAATTTAGTCTATCGAGTACGAGGAAGTCCGCCGGTCCCCATCCCATCACGGTCACGACCTCAGCTGAAAGAAAGCGCAGTCAGCTCATGAAAAGATCCCGCTCGCCATCTCCCTCTGAACGCCAATCAGCACCTTCATTGCGGCCTCAGGAACCCACAAATATCTCAGTCCAGCACGACATGGCTTGTCCACACCTCAGCGCCGCCTTTATGGCATTGGCGCCTCCTCGACCCTCGCAACAAGTTCACAAGGAAGAATGCACGCTCTGCTTCGATGATCAAGATGGGCCCAACGGCCTCGACGTTTGCCTGTTGTGCTTCAACGGAGCATGCACCGGCAACACGGACCGCGAGCATTCGCGACTACACTTCGAAAAGACGCAGCATGCCCTTGTTCTCAACATCCGTCGAACGCGACGTCCAGCTCCTCCAGCAGCGCAAGGCGATGCCTCCTCGGTGCCCAAGAAGCTCGCAATCGCTGCGGAATCCGATGCAGACAAGTACGACTATCACACAGTACCCAGATGTCTTGCATGCGATCCGAGCGGGCCAGGCCAGGAGCTGCCGATCACGGACAAGCTCGATGAGGTGATCCGCGGCGTCATGGCTGCCATGTCTTCGGCTCAACAGAGCGAGGTCAAAGCTTGGGAGGAGGAAATCGTCGCTTGCCAGCATACGCGAGAGCTCGTTCAGCCAGGAGAGCCCGTCAAGCTCGAGCCTTCTGGTCTTGCCTCGTGCGGCAAGTGCGATCTGACTTCCAACCTCTGGCTCTGCCTCACCTGCGGTCACCTCGGTTGCGGTCGAGCTCAGTTCGGTGGCGTTGGCGGCAACGGCCACGGTTTGACTCATTTTGAAGAGACCGGTCATCCTGTCTCTGTCAAGCAAGGTACCATCACCGCGGAAGGCAGCGCCGACATCTACTGTTACGCCTGCAACGACGCTCGCATCGACCCCAGCTTGGCACAGCATCTCGCTCACTTTGGCATCAACGTGATGGACCTTTCCAAGACCGAAAAGAGCATGACAGAGCTGCAGATCGAGCAGAACCTCAGATTCGACTTCAACATGACCGGCGAGGATGGCAAGATGCTCGAGCCTGTCTTTGGGCCGGGACTGACGGGGTTGCGCAACCTCGGCAACAGCTGCTACATGGCCTCGGTGCTGCAAACTCTGTTTTCGTTGCCCGCTTTCAAGACGAGATACGGTGATGCTTATCGTCCGCACACGCTTGCATGCGCCAACCAACCTGCTACGTGCTTCGAGTGCCAGATCACCAAGGTTGCCGATGGTCTCTTGTCTGGTCGATACTCGCATCCTCGCGAACCCGAACAAGCTGGTGGTTCGGAATGGAAGCCCGAAGCTGGAAGCGAGGATGAGGTCAAGCAGCAGCAGCAACCACTGTTCCAAAAGGGGATTCGTCCCAGCATGTTCAAAGCTTTGGTCGGCAAGGGACACGAAGAGTTCTCTACGATGCGACAGCAGGACGCCGACGAGTTTCTCAAGTACCTCATCGGAATCGTACAGAAGGAGAATCGAAAAGTCGCATCGTCCGATTCTTCCTCGCCCACCGAAGACCCGACGACCGTATTTGGCTTCGGGTTGGAGCAAAAGCTGGAGTGCAACACGTGCCACAAAGTTCGCTACAGCGTCGAGCGTCAAGATGCCGGCCTCAGCCTGCCTGTCCCCATCCGTCCCAAATTGTCGCCAGAAAACGTTTCGGCGGGAAAGCAGCCTGCAGAGGGCGTTCACGCTGCCGACGCCTCCGCTTCAGCGCCGGCTACCGCGCCAGCCGCCAACAATGGCGCAGCAGAATACGAGCCGGTCAGCCTGGTCGAATGCCTTGACATCTTCACCGCACCCGAGGAGCTAGAGTACAACTGTCCCTCGTGTTGCAAGAAGGTCACCGCCACCAAAAGGACTCTGTTCACCACGTTCCCGCAAGTGCTTGCGCTGCAAGTGCGGAGATTCCAGCTACTCAATTGGGTGCCTCAGAAGGTGCCTGTTCCCGTCATCGTTCCCATCGATACGCCGCTCGACCTCGACCGGTACCTTGGACGTGGTAAGCAGCCGCACGAGGAGGAGTTGCCCGAAGACGAAGCTGCTGCTGCTGCTGCTGCTGGAGGCGGTGGATCGGCGAGTGCGGAGCCGGAGTGGGATGCAGGGGTCATGTCGCAGTTGACGAGCATGGGATTCCCGGAGATTCGGTGCAAGAAGGCGTTGCTGGCGACGGGGATGGGTGATGCGGAGAGCGCGATGAACTGGCTCTTCGCGCACATGGAGGATGCTGACATTGACGATCCTATTGACTTTGGTGCTGCTAGCGGTGCGACGTCAGCTAGTGCAGCGGCCGGTGGTGGAGGAGCAGGACCTGACACCTCGATGTTGGAGGAAATGGGTTTCACCAAGGCTCAAGCTAGGAAAGCTCTACGACTCAACTCGAACAACCCGGAAGTGGCGGTAGCTTGGCTCTTCGAAAACCCGGATGATCCAGGCGAGGATGGGACTGCTGCTGCATCGCAAGCCGCGGTGCGCGAAGCGGGGGAGACGTCGGGAAGTTCAAGCGTGATTCCGGGGAACAGCGAGTTGCCCGCTCGATACACGTGCAAGAGCTTCGTCAGCCACAAGGGTCCGAGCGTGCATAGTGGACACTACGTCGCTCACGTCAAGCAGGGCGAGGAGTGGATCTTTTTCAACGACGAGAAGGTGGTCAAGGCTGAGCTGACGTCGAGGGGGAAGGAGGGGGAGGATGTTGGGGTGGTGGGGTTGAGTGCCCAGGCGTATGTGTACTTTTTCGAGAGGAGCTAGGGAGGTGGATGAGCACGGTCGAATCGTTCACAATGTAAGTTAGCAAACAATGCACGCAATCACATTTTTCTCTGCTTTGAAGCATCACAGACACAAACGTCATGATATCTTTCCTGCCAGATGAGACGGCAATGAACAAAGTTGATTTCGAACGGACTTTCGTCACCCGAGCACCTTTCGCAGCGCATCCTTTCGCTCCGGAACCTCCAACGACGTCACGGGACACCTTGCGTGCTTCTCGACGTACTCGAAAGCGCACGTGTAGCAGAACACGTATCCGCTCGGCAGCACGGCCGGATTGTTGATCGGCATAGCACCGCAGAGTGGACAGGAGTTGTGGATCAACCTCCTCCTTTGTTGTGAAGGTTTCGAGTCGATGAGATTTGGTTTCACCTCCTGTTCTGAGGAGGATTCGAGTTGATCGAGGAGTTTCCCGCTGAGAGCGAAGATCTGAGGCAATTTGTAGTTGGGTAGGGTATCTTGGATGGATTGCGGGACGTTGGAGAGTACGCCGGTTTGGAGGTCGGGGAGGAGAGGTGCGGGTGGATCGAGCGATGGATTGTGCGTCTCTTCTGCACCGCCTGCGCCGTTGCTGCTGGAGTGGTTGGTACGACGTCGTCGAGGGTTGTCTGCGCCGTACCACCATTCGAGGAACTTGAAGAAAAATATGCTCGCCGGCAATCCGTACTTCAAACCTTCGTACACCACACCCGGTGCCAATTTGAGTAGTACAAAGAAGAATTTGGCTGGTTGACGTACCAAGCTCGGCATCTTGGAGGGGAGGAGGTTCTTTCGTGGACCGTCGTTGGGACCTACTCGACGGACGTCTACTCGCATCAGGGAGAACCACGGTCTCCAGTAAGGTGTCTTGTCGAACAGGTAGCGTACGTTGTACGTCAACAACCAGAGTTGATACAACGTCTTCGCATACGGATATCCCGTCTTGAACGCTTCCATCACCGCCGACTTGACCTTCTCCCTCAACGTCCGCGTGTCCCCGTCCTCAAATCTTCCCCTCGTCGCTGCTGCAGAATCATCCTCCCCAAACAAACTCCCCACATTCGTCAACCCACCACCATTTCTCTCCCAAACATCCTCCAACTTGGCCCCCAACCACGGCAGCCCTACCAACCACAACAGACTCAACCTGATCTCCCTCTTGCCCAACCTCTCGCTGCTCGCTACGGTCAAGCTCGTCGCACCCACGCTGCGATTCAGACCGGGTCGACGACGTCGACGAAGACCGTAGAAGTTTTCGGAGAAGCTGCTGCCCCAGACGGTGAGGTAGTGCGTTTCGATCCCGGCCATGAGGAGCGCGTAGATCTCGTCGAACGAGTTGACGGCGCGCAGCAGGTAGCGCGGATTGCGCTGGGCGAGAACGGCGAGGACATAGCGGACCGCGGGTTTGATGAGGTCCGACAGCTGCGATTGGGCGGCAAGTTCGAAGAAGGATGGGTGGAAGGGGTCCGATGAGGATGGTTGGGATGAGGTCGGGTCTACGGAGGTGAGTACGTCCATTGCTGAAAGATTCCGCTTGCGTGTGATGGTGGTGGTGTGCGAAGGGTCAAGGTTCGGTTTCAAGCGTCTGCAGGCCGCGAGATGGTCGGTAACAGCGCCTGTGAGGTTGAGGTCGCTGTGCACCGACTTTGTGATGCGTAGAAGCAGGAAGGAACCGAGCGCCGCAAGTGATCCTACCTTAAGCGCGGATCGAATCAATCGTTCGGGTGCGAGCTTGTGCAGCACGTCCTAGCGAAAGATCGAGTCGATAGTGTCTGATGGATGAAAAGACGATCCCTTCGTATGGCGGCTTGACGTGAAAAAGTATGAAAGCATCGTCCGTCTCCACACAGACACCCAAAGCCCGGATGTCGCGCATCTCGCTTTGCCGGACCTGATTTTTCCGCTCCATCTCCACCCCTTTCATGGATCTAACAAATACGCCTGTCTCCCAGAACGACCTTTCCCCACCTCCCTCAAAACACTTGTCCCTCACACACCCCATCGCATGAAACAGCTTCGACATTCGGTCATCAGAATTGCATCGACGGAATATGCAGCGGGTCATGACATGAAGAGACATACGGTGACAAGGGAGAATTTTTAAAGCCTGCGATCAACAAGATGATGGATGGACAACGGAAGCTGGCACGGAAAAATGCGAAAGATGGGAGGGTAGTTCTGCGACACTTTTCAATGATGCTGTTCACCCATGCTACGGCGGAACGGATTGTTGGGGTTGATGATGCGGCTCCTCGGCACTGCTGTTGGTGCTGCTGCGAAGCCAGAAGATCCGGGACTGGCAGGTGCGCTGGCGTCTGCATCGAAGTGAGTTGTTGTCGTGACCGTGGCGTGCTGCTTGGCGGTACCGGCGCCGATCTCGGGCGGAGGCGAAGGGTAGCCGTGTTGCTCGGACAGCGCCGATCCTAGACCTGCGATTGGCTGTGGCACCGGAACGGGCGCTGGCGCTGGCACGGATCGCGACGGTCGTGCCGATCCGCTCGAGTCGATAGGTACGGTCGACGAAGCTGTGCCGCTAAGCGACGGTGCAGAGGACGAAGAGTGTGGAGGAGAAGGCCCGGCGTCGATCAACTCGCGCAGCTCGTCCATGGTCGTCTGCGACAGACCGAGCGAGGCTGGGTCCACGTTGCTGACCGGTGGCCTGGGCAGCGACAATGCAGGAGCAGCCGGCGATGATGCTGAACCGACTCCCTCGCTCTCCTCGAGTACCGACTGGGCTGCTCCGACAGGTGGCCTGATTGTTGTGCTGGCTCCAGCTGTCAAGTCGTTCGAGGTCGAAAGTCTCGATGCATTCCCCGACGAAGACGTTGCCGCCGCTGTTTGCGCGTCCGACGCTGCCGCCCTTCTTTTCCTCTCTTCCTCGGCCTGCTTGCGCTGCTGCTCTTCGTGCTCGAGAAGACTGAGTCGCATGGCCTCCATGATCATGGCCTCCTCCATATCCTCTCCATTTCCCATTCGCATGAGCCTTGCTAGCTCGGGTAGCCCGTCGGCAGCGCCACGGCTGGGCCGGCTGCTACGCCTTCGTGTCGTGGTCACCGATCCGGCACCTGGCCAGTTTTGACCGTCGTTGAGGATGATACTGCCACCCGGCCCATTGAGGTTGATCCTGCCGCTTTCAGCAGCAGCAGCCAGATCGGCACCCATGCGAGACGAAGAGATGCCGATGGGAATCAGTCGGTCGCCCACTTGTCGCATGATGACGCGTCGATTGGCACGACGTGCCACAGCAGCTTCTGCTTGCGCGAGCTTGAGATGCCAGTCGGGTCGGACCTGATCCACGGTGATGACGCTCGGGTCATCAGCCGCCAAGATCTTCTTCTTGCCCGCTCCCGATACGCCTGCGCCACCGGTGCCGATGGCCATCTCGGCAAAGTTGGCGGCGTCGACTGCATCGTTGGGACTGTCGCTTCCGCTGCCGCTGGATCGTCTTGCATGCTCGAGCGCCTCTGGCGGGGTGTAGGTGACACCAAATTCGGGCTCCACGCAAAAGGGACAGGATCGCGGCTCGGAAGATGGTGGGTTGTGCGAGTTCGGATCGGCGCGTTTCATCTGGACAAAGCATTCGGTGCAGATGGGCTGGTGACAGCAGCGTGAAAAGTTGAGCGGCGTCGGATAGTTGAGGAAGCAGATGGGGCACTCGCTGTTGAACTTGCTGTCGGCGAGTTCATCTTCGTCGTCCGTGCCCTTGCAGAAAGGAGCGAGTCGACGGTCGACAATGTTCTGGCGCACGAAATGCTGGTCGTAATCCTTAGGACCTGTGTAGACGCCTTGCGGGATGAGCCCGCCTTCGTCGACTTTGACCGAATCAGCGAGATGAGCTGGAAGCGGCGGTGGAGACGGGGGGCGCAGGCTAGCTGCTGAGAGAGATGCCACCAGATTGGCGGATGCCGACGGGGTGATGCCGCGAGATGAGGTTCGTGTGTGACTCGAATGCTGAGCAGAAGAGCCGGCAGCGCCGGCCTCCTTGGTTTGCTGTTGACCCATGTCGGCGCAAGGAATGAACAGTGATGCCCAGACACGAGAAAGGTATGTGTATGCCCCGTTGTCGGTCAAGATGTAGACATGCGACACCGATCTCTTAGCCTCGTCCCGGACACACTGTTCGGGCCATCCGACAGGAGATCACCGGTCACAGCCGATGGGAATATGGCGATAGTATGGAACGTGACGTCGGGAGGACCGGAGGCGGTAACGACGCTGCGTAGCGCAATGGGAGCGGGGGCACGATGTTTTGCCTGCAAGGGTGCTGAGGCTGTGGATCTCTATGCCAGTCGTGTTCGAATGAATCGAGCTGGAGGTCGTAGCCGTCCAAGTCGTATGTCTGCCGAGCGGTCAAAGTAGGGAGGAGTTTGAGGCCTCAAACGATTCGTCCGTGTCCTTTGGAGGCCAGAATCTCGGCGCAGCGACCGCTAGTATTTCGCCAGGTCAGTCTGAATTCGGTGATGATGTCGTCGTTGGACAACAAAGCCCTTCGTCTATTAGAAGACGCTCGTGCGCAGCGATTTGCTTTTGATGCAGTCGAGAGAGAATTATGTTTGTGTTGGTTGGGTCGGGAATGCGTAGAAAGAGACGACGGATTGGGTGCAACGATGATGGGAGATGCGATCAGACGATGGAAGCGGAGCGGGAAATGTCCAAACGGGGGTTTGAGGAAAATGTGCCGACCTCTCGAGATGTGTGTGTGTGTGTGTGTCATTGAGAGAAGGGGCAATCTCAAGTGGAGAGGCGCGAGCGAGGCGCTAAGGCTGGAGGTCCTAGCGATTCTCGACTGAGCCCACACAAGTCGATTTACGGAGAGTGTGAGGTGAAAGCGCAAAGGCGCGCTTTCTTTCCTGACCCGCCATCGGCATTCAAAAAATCCTGCCAAAGTGCGGGCCGTCGCGGTGGGTGACAGATGCCATCCTGCGTGTGGGCCGCGGCTGCATGGCATTTCCCGGCTGCCTGCCCACACATTTGCTGTAGTTCTGAAGTCAAAGGGTCCGCAGGGCATCAAGGCATGGGTATCCCATTACTGACTGTGTCGTGGGCTGCAAAACGTATATTATGTCTGTTGACGATCGGAAGGACCTCTCTTTGCCAATCTCTGAATGCCACCATCCGGGCTGTGTGTTTGCTGTTGCTCTTGATCTTCACCTTTGCATGTGGAATGACCGATCGACACCGCCACTTGCCTCGCACCTCTTTTTCTCGATGATTTTCATTAAAACTTAATTTAGAAACAAGCAACCCTCGCCGATGCTCGCGAAACTGTCTGAGGATCAGAATGAGCAGCGTATAGTTTGTCATCCTGTCATCCTGTCATCCTGTCATCCTGTCATCACGAATTCTCCGTTCGGCATATCTTTGTCGTCGGCTCTTCCTCAACATCGGAGGAAGGAAGAGCTTGCAAAAGAGACTCAGAACCGTCAAAGGTCGAAGCCCTTGCACCCTCATTTCGAGGGCGTATGGGCAGGTCGGCGAAGGGACTGAGGACCAATCATGGCTGACAGGCAGCCGGAATCGGATGGAGCTCACGTTCCGTGGAGAGACCGAGGACCCTGAACGGAATGTTAGCTAGCCGACAGACCAACCGACCCTGGCTCCTGCTGGCGTTTACCGCCAAATGGCGATTGCCCGACGCTGTCAGATTCGACCCGCGTTGCATCTCACACGACCTTCCCTCAAATCACAAGCAGGCTTGCCATCCATCGCCTCGGACTGGAGCTTTTTGACTTGCCGTCGACTCGAGACGGCGAACGTTTAGACGCCTTGATCGTGTCGTTGTGCGGCAAGACGCCGCCCTCGCCGTACAGACCTGACGTGTGGGCGCCGCTTTGGCTCTTCTGTCTGGCACACCTTCATCTCTGCTCCAGGACAGGATCACGTACCGTCCTGCGTTGACGTTCGTCGCGTTCGCTGAGATCTCGCAATGAAATTGGGCGCGGTGACGTGCGTGCATCGGCTTTTCAAAGTCTGGAGTCTAGATGTGAGGAGGGCCTTTCCAGACAGGATTCGCTGCGCAATGCTCTGCCCTGTGCCACATGGCAAGCATCGACCTAGATCCTGCTTGCTAACTCCTTCTCCTCAATCTTCTCACTACTCTCACGATCGACACCAGCCAACGAGTGACTCTTGTCGTCGGTCATGTAATTTCGGATGCTCGACGGTGTGCAGAAGCGGTGGCCACATGCATTGCAACCCTGAGAGCGTATGTGCCTGAACACGACAAGGACTCTCTGCCACTTGACAGACGAGCTAATTCTTATCGGTCTCTAATTTCGTGCTTTGACACTACGAAGTCTGAAATCCACACAGTTGGTATATGCATTGTAAATTTCGGAAAAGGTTCTAATTGGCATTTCGCCTTGGAGGACGAGAAGTTGCAATTTTGTAGTCATCTTCCGAACTGTGGTCTCGGTAATGAATAGAAATTGGCGACTCTTTGTAATTCGGAGGATCCCAGATGTTCGACTCTGCATAGGGGTTGTATTGAACAATTTAGGTGCGCCCTTGCTCTTTTCCCACATGAGCCAAGCTGAGCCAGGCTAAGGCAACTGTGTGTAGTAGAGGGAGTTACTCTGCCTTCGAGGCGCGGCGCGCTGGTTTGGTTGACCGTGCCTGTTCCCCGCTGCCAAAGGTTCAAGGGTGTCTCTGCGTGGGTACAGAGCGGGAGTTGCACTGCCCGCTCAGCGCGCGGCGATTGCGTCTGCCTTTCTCTCCCCTTTCTGGATACGAGTCCGCACGACGCTCGGCTGGCCCGCCTCTGGGCTGTTTTGGAGCAGCAGCGATACGATACCAACGATTTCGCAACTGCATCTACCGAAGCACGCATTCCGTTTCAACTCGACATTCTCACCTCCATCATCCGTCCTTCGAATTCTTACGTCTTTCTACGTCGGCATCCGCACCTATCGTCATCCGTAGCTTCCGTCATCCGCGGATAAAACGCCCTAGCTCTTCAGCTACTTTGCGATCGCCTGCATCTGGGACGTCGAACTGTGTTCGGATAGTCTGCACCGCTTCAAAGAGTTGAACGGGACCACCGTGCAGCCTCATCGGAGACTTCGCATTTGCCATCCTCAGCCTCCTTCCGTACAAACTGAACCCGACGAAAGCAGAGCTTCGCGTGTGTTCTCCGCTGCTGCTTTGGACCAAGTGCACCCTTCGCTCTCGAAATTGATCAGCTATCCCGCATCACCATCACTCCGCCTCCCTCAAATTTCAGAACGTAAGTCGATCGCTACAGAACCTCTGCATTCAGTCTCTCAACGCAGTCGCCGTGGTCACCCTCAGCTGCATGCACCATAGAAGGCAGGGCAGGGCTAGGGCAGACTGGCTGCATCGGACCCTTGCAACAACGATGGCCGCCTCATATTAGCCTGCCTCGAGACGAGATCCATTCGAGCTGCAACCTTTGGATCTTATGGAATATTCCCCAGAGGCTCTCGTGGATCAGATAGGAGGTGCATAGGAGATCTGGGCTTGCATGGAAGGGCTTTGGCAGTTGATATCTCGAGCTGAGGCAGTCTGAAGTGGACATACAATAAACATGGAGCTCCTGTTTCTGACCTCTCTCTTCATGCTTCCTTTCGATGGCCCCACCGCTCAACGCTTGCTTTCGCCTTCTTCATCGCTCCTTTTCCATTCTTGCCGACCAGCAGAACACAAACATGCAGACCATCAAGTGTGTCGTCGTCGGTGACGGTGCAGTCGGTAAGACGTGCCTGTTGATCTCGTACACCACCAACAAATTCCCCTCGGAGTATGTCCCTACCGTCTTTGACAACTACGCCGTGACCGTCATGATCGGCGAGGACCCGTACACGCTCGGATTGTTCGATACTGCTGGTCAGGAGGACTACGACCGATTGCGACCGCTCTCATATCCGCAGACCGATGTGTTCCTGGTGTGCTTCTCGGTCACCTCGCCAGCCTCGTTCGAAAACGTCAAGGAGAAGTGGTTCCCCGAGGTGCACCACCACTGCCCCGGTGTACCTTGCCTGATTGTGGGAACCCAGGTGGATTTGCGAGACGACCACGCCGTTATCGACAAGCTGGCGCGTTCAAAGCAGCGACCCGTACCTTTCGAAGCCGGCGAGCGATTGGCGAGAGAGTTGGGCGCGGTCAAGTACGTCGAGTGCTCGGCATTGACGCAGAAGGGATTGAAAAATGTGTTTGACGAGGCCATCGTGGCTGCATTGGAACCACCCGTGATCCGCAAGAAGTCCAAGTGCGCCATCCTCTAAACATACCCGCATCGAGCTTTCGCAGAGCTTGCTTCGATCGTCGTCGTGCCGTCATACCTACATCGTTTATCTCTTCCAACCGCCTCTCTCATCCGACCACGGTACCAATCATCGTCTTTGTGTAGCGTAGTCTGTAGCCGCAGACTCTGAATATCGAGTCGTCACGCGGCTCGTACTTCGTGCAAGGGTATCCTGCCGCCATTCAATACTACCGAAGATCTCATCACCGTCCGTTGCGACCATTTTCACATCCAGTCAGCATTGACTTTGTCGGCCCGCCGCAGTCTCATTCACTTGGATTTCTGTTCGAATCGAATCTGGTGTGCCATCGCGGCCCGCGCAGAATCTTGGCGATTGAAGACCGTCGCCGGTCTCTACTCACCCCTTCCGCCTTCCCACGTCTGCATTCTGCCACGGTTGCATCTCTGCGTCTCCCTCTGTGCCTCTTCCTGTTCTGTTGTGTTTCCATGCTTCACGATGTACGAACCTTTACGCCATTCACCAGTACACAATCGAACGTTGCTGAGACTGACTTGCAAGTGACGCGCACGGTCGGCCTCGATGGCACGTCTCGCGCCTGAGTGCACTCTCCGTCAAAGAGCTTGGACGAGACCAGAAGCCCCTGGCCGCTTCGCATCTCTCGTCCGAGCTCGACGATAAGGGCCGAGGTGTCTTGATCGGTCAATTTAATACGGGGCGGAAGCGTCGATCCTTTTCCGGAAATTAAGCCTTTTGTTGAGGTGAGAGGGTGCATCTGCAGGGTGCAGTGAACGCACGTCCCTCGCAGCAGCGACAACGCAGTTCTGGTCGGAACGGCGACATCCGACCATTCCAAGCGTCGAGTTACTGCTTCTCTTCCGCCGGCAACGTTCCAACTCGACTTCGACGCCGACTCAGCCTTCGGACTAGAGAATTGCTGAAAAGCTGGATTGCTTTCCTTCGCTTCCACTGCGTGCCGTGACGGATACATCAAGATCGACACGGCTGACGCTCTTCATATCCATCGCAGCGTCAAGATACAATCACATCGTCATGAAGCTGGCCACCTCTCTCGCTCCGTGGCTGGCGCTGGCTGTGAGCTTAAGCTCGAGCACCATTGCGGCACCGGCAAACAGCCACCTGGAGAGTCCAGAGGATGCCGGCTTTCACATCAGCGCCGAACGTCTGACCCACTCGACCCCTCGTCGCATGGATGGATTCCAGCGAATGCTCGAGCGCAGGTACCAAAATCAGCAGCAGAGAGCTGTCGCACAAGCCGCGCAGCAATCCGCAGACACTGCAAGCGACGATGTGCTGGGCCGTGTTTGGTCTGCTGTCAGCAACGGTCTGTCTTCGCAGCAGGGCATCGCCTCGACTCTGGCAAGCTACGTCGAGTACATTGCTGTCGACGCTTCGGCAAAGAAGAGCACGCACGACATCAAGGATCCAGCGTACCTCAGACAGCCCCTGGACCATTTCGACAACACCACGCAGGCTCAATTCGATCAACGCTTCTTCTACTCGACACGTCATTACAAGCCTGCCTCGGAGCGCAAGAACGGCGAAGCTGTGCCCATCTACATCTTGGACAGCGGAGAGGCCGACGCAACAGCCCGCATTCCTTTCCTCGATACCGGCATCCTCGACATCCTCTCCAAGGCGACCGGAGGTATCGGCATCGTTCTCGAACACCGATACTACGGAACATCGCTGCCGAACCGCACCGACCTTGGTCCCGGTGATGCATGGGCCGTGGATCAGCTCCGATGGCTGACCAACAAGCAAGCGCTCGAAGACTCGGCGGAGTTCATCCGGCGTCTCAACATCCCTGGCACGGACAATTCTGAGAAGCGCAAGATCATCTACTATGGCGGCAGCTACCCTGGTGCACGCTCTGCTCACATGCGGTTGCTGTACCCGGAACTGGTCCACGGTGCTATTGCGTCGAGTGCGGTCGTGGCGGCTGTTGACGAGTTCCCGGAATACTTCTACCCCGTGGCGCGTGGTGCACCCACCAATTGCAGCCAGGCCATCCAGGCCGCCATCGCTGGCATCGACGAGATCGTGGCCCCCAACCCGTTGACAGGTGGAGATCAGCCCGGACGAGACGCCAACCGCACTGAGCAGCTTCTCGAACTTTTTGGTCTCAAAGGTCTCACCAACCTCGGCGATCTCGCCAACCTCAACACGTATCCGCTCGGATCCTTCCAGAGTCTCAACTGGGATCCAGCCGTCACGTCGACCGAATTCGGCGAGTTCTGCAATGTTCTGACGACCTATGGCGCCGATGGCAAGTACGATCCGGTTAGCGAAAGCGTTGCGTCTAAAGGGCTCAGCGTTTCGCGCGAAGTACACGCATATGCTCACTACATGCGCACCAACTACGTCGAACCCTGCGTCAAGGGTGAAGACGGTCAAACCCCCGCTTCGCCCGACGAATGCTTCGGAACCGACTTTGAGGCTTTCGCTTCGGAAGCCAAGCTGAGCGCCGGTCGAGCGTGGACTTTCCAGTACTGCTCGACGTGGGGTTACATCATGACAGCGCCACCCGTATCGCGCTACCTGCCGACGCCGGATGGCAAGAGCAAGTACTTTGTCTCTTCCGGACCCAAACTCGTCTCTACGCTCCTCGACTACGCGTACGCACACGAGATCTGCGAAAAAGGCTTCCCTGCCGGCGAATATTACAGCATGCCCGAGCGTCCGAACATCGACGAAGTCAACAGGTTGGGCAATTTCCAGCTCGCGGTCGACAGACTCGCGTTTGTCGATGGACAGTACGATCCGTGGAGACCGGCTACGGTGCATAGCGAGGAGTTTGCATATGGTGGAAACAGGGCGGATACGGTGGAGAGGCCGTTCAAGTTGATTCCGGACTGCTGGCACCATTGCGATGAGAATGGAGTGAAGGATGAGAGCAAGACGCCGGAGAGGGTGAGGTTGATCCACGAGCAACAGGTGGAGTTTGTCAAGGCTTGGTTGAAGGAGGATTGAAGAACAGATGTGAAGCTTGGGCTGTGATTTGGCAGATGTCGGAATAGATGGATCAACGAGACGTTCAGAATGACCGATTCGAGTGGGTTTCCGCTTGGCTGTGCGAATGGATGATCGAATTGAATGCGGACAAAAGTACATTGAGAGAGACGCAAGGAGGGTTTACAGCGTGAGATTGCATAGACAACCCTATTCTTCGTCGTCCTCCTCGTCGTCGTCATCACTGTACATGGTCATATCCTCCATCTCCAGCTCTTCGTCATCATCCTCGTCTCCGTCAAACTCTGCCATCTCCTCATCGTCCTCGTCGCCGCTGCTCGCCGTGGGATCCAAATGCTTTTTGAGACCCTTCATCTTCCTAGTCTGCAGACCGTTGAGATCCTGCTTACCGACGTGGATCCTACCGACGGTATCGCCCATATCGTCGGTCTCGATGTTCTTCTTTGCGCCCTCCTTGCCCTGTCTGTTCTTCTCGGCCTGGGTCTTGGGTCTTCGGAGTGCCTGGTTGAGCATATCGATGCTGGCGGGTTTCCGCCTTCGGAGTTGGAAGTCGAAGGAGGGACCGCATTCTTGCAATTCGACGCGGGGGGTTTTGGAGCCGCTGGCGAGGAGTTGGATGGTGTAGACGCGGAAGTGGATGAGGGTGTTGGGTGGGGAGGTGACGACGGACGAGGTGGAGGAGGTCATGGCGGTGCCGTTGGGTGTCAAACCTGCTGCTTTGTAGAGGTCTGCGAGGGTGTCGCCTGCGCCATCGGTCGATGTGGACTGCTTTCCGTTCGCGGTCGACTGGGTGGGAGCGGCAGTGACGCAGATCACATGTTGCAATCCACTCAAGGCGATCTGGTTCGTCTTCAACTCTTCACCCCGGTAGAAGTCCAACAACATGCTCTTGAACTGCTGATACGCTCCCGTCTCATCATGCTCTCCTCCCTCGGCACCTGCGATCATACTCGTGCTCGCATCCGTCGGCGTCGTAAACTGAGGCCCACTGAAATGAAACAACGGTCTCATCCCCACCCCCGGCCTAGCCACGCCTTTGAAGTCGTTCATACTCTTTGCCTCCACCACACCCATCTCCAACATATCCAATACGGTACCATCGAACATTCGAATCCACGTCAAGTTGTCCGGTCGCTTCTTCTGCGAGTTTCCAAACATGAACAGCGAGGCATCGTTCTTGCTACTCCAAAACTCGAACGACGAGGTATCTTCGAACGGCAACGCTTCGTTCTTCTTGTTGAATGCGATGACATCTGGTTTCTTGAGCAAAGCGAGTTCGGTGAGGGCGATGTTGAGCTTTGCAGACGAGTGAGGGCCTCTGACGAAGATGGCTGTTTTGGCCGCTTCGTATTCGCGAGCCTGACGCTTTTCGAGGGCTCGTTTGGAACGAGCGTTCTTGGGTTTGGCGACCCTGATCATTGTGTGGCAGCGAGGTGGGAAGGACTGGTGCGTCTGTTCGAGTGCTGACTCCTGTACACTCGATGTTCGATGCTGAGAACGAGAAGAACCAAGTGCTGAGATGGTAGTGAACCAAAGAATGTTGGAGAGAGTGGAGAAAGTTGAGAAGAATTTCGCTTTTCTCGAACCCTTTTTTGCCAGTAAAATTTGCCTTGCAAGCCTAACAAGTCGCTTATGTAAGCCAATTTTTCTATGTCTGAAAACCCTGCATGTATGGAAATTTTACGCTGCACGGCGTTTTGCTCCACAATAATTCCAAAGCGTGATTTTTTTTCTCGTTTCTTGTGTTTCGGTTCTTCTTGAAAGCTCGATGCTGTACACTTCATCCCCCTCATCATCCACATACTTCTCGCACATACGGTGCAGCATTGCCCCCGCAAGATGATCAGTGCACTTCAATGGATCGCGAGGGGCAAGAGCCTCCCGCATCCCAAGAAATATGTCCTCGACGACAGCGAGATGCAACGCGTCTCCCAGATGGCCAACGTCCAATTCGAGGATGCAAAGGCGCAGCTCGAACGTGCCCAGCGCGATATCGCACGCGGCAAGGATCCCTTTGCGCCCAACACTGGCAACGACGATGATGACGATGAGTGGCAGGACGACGACCAAGACGACGAAAAGATGGATCAGGATGGCGATGCACCCATGGCAGAGGATGCTTCCAAGCAGACCAAGGAGGATCCCGATGATCTGTCTCGCTACAACCTCGACGAGTACGATGACGATGCCAGCGCTGAAGCTACCGCGGGAGCATTCAGCAACATTCGAGGTCTCGCCGTCTACCAGAGCAACGAGGACGACCCGTACGTGACAGTACAGGACGATGCCGAGAAGGACGACGAGGAGGAACGTGAGGAACTCGAGGTCTACCCTACCGACAACTTTATCATCACCGCAAAGACCGAAGACGACGTATCCCAGCTCGAAGCGCACATCTACGCTGCCAGCGGTGCCAACCTTTACGTACATCACGATCTCATGCTTCCCTCGTTCCCGCTCTGCCTCGAATGGCTCGACTACGCACCCGCACGCTCCTCGGCGGACCAGAACGCTTCCAAACCGGCCGGAGAGCTGGGCAACTACATCGCCGTCGGAACCATGGATCCCGAGATCGAAGTGTGGAGCATGGACGTTGTCGACGGCATGTATCCTGACGCCATTCTAGGCCGAAAGACGGAAACGGATCAGCTCAACGCTCCACTGGGGACGGGCAAGAAGAAGCGCAAGCAGTCCAAAGCTCGAGTCGCCAACGACGCGTACCACGTCGATGCGGTTCTAGGTCTCTCGTGGAATCCCGTTGCACGCAACCTGCTTGCGTCCGCTTCCGCGGACTGCACCGTCAAGCTCTGGGATCTGTCTCGACCGCACACCAGTGAGGACAGTACTGCCTTCCGATCCTTCGCCTCGCACACGGACAAGGTGCAATCCGTCGCTTGGCAGTGTAAAGCAGCGGGTGGCGCGTCAACCTCCGCCAACCCAGCGGTGCTGCTGACTGGATCGTACGATAAGACCATCCGCGTGTTCGACACACGTACACCCGACACGGCCTCCATCGTCAGCATCTCGAGTGACGTCGAAAGCGTCGTCTGGAACGGTTGGTCCGCCGATACATCGAGCTTCCTCTGCTCGCTCGAATCCGGTCTTGTGCAATCCTTCGACATGCGCTCCCCCAGCTCGCCGCTCTGGACGCTCCAGGCACACGATACCGCCTGTACCTCGATCGATGTCTCTCCGCACATCCCCAATTGCATCCTCACCGCTTCCTCCGACCGCTCCGTCAAACTCTGGAACCTCTCCTCCTCCTCTCCTACCACTCTCACACCCGAGTCGATCAACCTCGTGCTATCACGCGATCTCGGTCTCGGGAAAATCTTCGCTGCCAAATTCAGCCCCAACGATCCCCTCACCCTAGCTGCCGCCGGAAGCGCAGGTCAGCTTCAAGTCTTCAACGCCCTGAGCAACCCCGCTGTCCGCAAAACTTTCGCAGATAGGTTGAAACTCCTCAAGGGAGACGAGAAGGTAGATCTCGATGGTTCGGAACCAAGCAGAGGCGATGGCGTCGTTAGGGTCGAGGACGACGATGAGGATGATAGTGACGATGAAGAGATGCAGGAGTGATGGAGAGGACGTTGCATCTTTTGCATTCAATACACACAGTTAATAACGTTCTTTTCCCCATCCTGCGTGTGAGTTGTTTGCACCTCTCGTGAAATTCTCATTGCCACAACAACCTCTTTTACTATACATTGGTCTATCTTGGAAACACGATCTACCTCTCCTGCAAGAAGCTCCTGAACTTCCAATCCGGCAACCTCTTCGTCCCCTTCTTCCCCGCCCCCGTCCCCTCATACACCCCACCATTCCCTCCCTGAACCAACCCCCACACCGGATGACCGATCGGAACCTGCACCTCCTCCGCCTGCAAATAATCCCACAACAGCGTCGTCTGTCTCACCGCCACCTCGATCAACGGCTGACTCGGCTTCCCACACCTCAACAGGATCGCAGAGTTCACCTGCTCCGCCAACGCCACCTTCCTCGAACGATGCAGGAACCGACGTACGGGTGAATGCTCCACATCGGTGTACGCGAGCAGTGCCGTGACCTGCTCGAGCTCCTTGAGGTACATGGCACGCCAGAAGCTCGGCAGTTTCTGTGCTGATGCGTAGAGTCCCTGTGCGTAGGCGAGGGCAGAGTGGAGCGCAGGGTTGAGTGCAGCGTTGGTTCCGGTGGCAGAGGTGGCAGAACCGTTGGAGGAGGATGTGGACGGTGCTGGTGATGCTGCGCGTGAGATGGCCGAGGCAGCGATGCCGGGTGTGGTGGTCGCGAGGGATGGTAGGCCGCCGTTGGAGGCGCTCAGCTGCGCCGTGGAAGAAGGAGCGAGCTGTGCGGAAGAGGCCGATCGGATCGCTTCGATGAACACCTGAATCTGCAAGTTGAGTAGCAAATGGTCGGGCTCCATCGACGTCGGGTTGGCCGGGAACATTTTGTCGCCGGCGCTGCCGGCGCTGCTACCCGTCTTGCTGCGCGTCGACTTGGAGCCGTTCGAGCTGCCACTAGCGGCGGCGGCGGCGGCGGCTGCAGCGCTGTTGAGAACCGTGGGAAAGTGCTCGTTGATCATGTCCATGGCTTGTCGGATCTGCCCCGAGATGATGTAGTCTTTGATTTGTTTGCGTGCGCGGACGCCTCGAAGATCTTCGGCAGTGAGGTCGGGACTGACGTCGATGTCAAAGTCTTCTTGCACCTCGTCGAACTCGGACGCGGCAAGCTCTGCGTCTTCGAGATCCTCATCGTCGTCGTGCACCTGGGTTTGCGCCCCTGCACCGTTCCTCGCTTGAGCAGAGTGACCATTCGAGTGGGTGAGGCCATTGCTGTGCTCGCGATGATGCGATGCAGAAGCGTCGGCGTGTTCCGACGACGTGGGAAGCAGGTTTTCCACCTCGATCTCCATGCTCGAGTCGTCGCGGGAGAGCGGAGGCGCCGATAGCGGATGAGCCTGGCGTGCGCCACCGTTGCTCGCAGTGGGTGTTCGGACAGACGATTCGATAGTGGCAGCGGAGCTTCTCGAACCTGAAGCTGAAGCGGACGAGACAGCTGGTCGTGCACCAGTGGAGCTCGCGCCTACATCATCAGCCGAGATGGGAAGCATGGATGACTCGCCGCCGTACAGATCGCCGATGATCCCATCCTTTGCGAATGCAGTGGCGGTCTCGGTGTAGCAATGGTGCAAGAGATAATTGAGCACCAGCTTGCGAAGGTTGGCGGGCGAAGTGAGGTCGGCATCATCCGAGGAAGCTGGCTGAGCAGGCTGGGAGCCGCCAGCCCATTCGATCTTGAATGACTGCATGGCAATCGAGGGAGATCGAAGGAGAGCTCAAAGCTGTGTGTGCTCTCTGCCAGGCTGAACGAGAAGAGGGAGAATATGCGAGACGAGGACAAGGTCGTTCTTTATCGCGAATTGTTGATAGGCAATTGCGGGTAACGGACGATGCTGCCTGTTTGACTTTGAGCTCGTGGTGACGCGGTGAGATGAACCGTGATCAAGTGTGAGATCGATTATAAGTGTTGAGAGAAGCAGCGAGATTGAGAGCGGCTGGGGATGGGGGTGAGAGGACGAGGACAAGGGATGACTTTTGGCCAAATGCCGAATGGACAGTCTGTGTTGGTTCGTGTGATAACTTGCTGCAGTGTGGAGTCACGCTGAAAGCTGAAATGACTGTGTGTCTGGGCGGCTGTCAGGGTTGCGGACATGCGGCTGAGTGATATTTGACTGCTGAGCTGGCTCGTTGCACTCGTTGCATTTTTCGGATTGAACCCTTGAAAAGATATCACCCGCGCAACCCGCAGACGCACAGCCGCCACGCCTCTATGTGTTGCCAACGTCGAAGGAAATGGCGTGGCAGAGCGGGCAAGCTGCAGGCTGGAGCCAAGGAATTAGATCGCCACACAACTGCAACCTTAACATTTATTTTTCTTCACGCTGGGACGGTCAGAACCTGCAAGCAATGCTGTGTGCAAGATGGCCCTTTCTGTCCAAAAGACCCTCTCGAGACACACAGAGATACACTGTGGTGGCAAGAGAGGGCGAGTGCCTCCATGTCGTCCGACCATTGACTGGAACTGCTGTCGAGAAAGCAGCGAACGGTGTGTGTTGCGTGATTTGGTCAGGAACGCGTCGGCTCTTGAGTCGCGGCCCTACTTTACGGGTCTGCGTGTTTTGTGACTTTTTGGACGGATAGGTCGATGCAAAGACCAACACGCACATGCACACACTGACGCTCGAGCTTCAACCGAACCGCAACCACCATCTTCCTTCGTCTAGGCCACTTGCGGCTACTGACATATACCAGCATTAGCATCATTGCATCTATTCTTACCCCTCAGCATCAGCAGCAGCAAACGCATATCACGTATCCTCTATCATTGCTCTTTTCCTAGCTTCTCTACTTTTCCTCTACGACCGGCTCGATATTTGATGCTAGACGACGCTCTTTGGACGAGCACTGTAGCCACAGCAGCGGGTTTGGACGTCTCACATCATACTTACCTTCAGCATTATTCCGCGCTCCCGATCGTCTATTCAGAGTCCACTATTACGTCTCAAATGCGAGTCCGAGCCGACAAGATCGCTACCTCGACATGAACAGGTTAGCTAGGGCCCATAGGTCCACCAAAATCCCCAACGTAAAGCTTCGTCCTGCTCAGAGGGGCTTGGATGATCCAGCATCATCTTCCTCCTCTTCCACCAAACGATCTCGCTTGCAGGATGAGCTGCAGGATGACCTCGAGGATGCCGCTCACTTCCGACGGATGAGGGACGACGGTCACGATCATGGCGCACACCTCGACGCTGACTTCATCGGCACTTCAGCACGACCGCTCAAAGGTGCCATAATCTCCATCACAGGGCTTAGCGAGGTCAAGGCCACTCTCACGCAGTATGCCCGCGAGCTCGGTGCCAGAGTCGAAGGGAACCTCACTGAGGATGTCACTCATCTCATCGCAGACCGTCCGGGTTCCGAAAAGTATCGCTTTGCGCTCCAGCTTGGCATGCACATCATCAGCCCAAACTGGATCCTTGATGTCCGTCAAGCATGGCTCGCCGGTGACGACGTAGATGCCGAGCAGCTGGAGCACCAGCATCGTTTACCCGCCTTAAGCAACACCACCGTCTGCTTCTCTGCCTTGACCGGCGCCGACCGGCGCAACTGTGTTGCCCTCGCACGTGAGATGGGCGCCACCGTATCAGACGAGCTGCGCTTCGATGGCACCATCACGCATCTCGTCTCGGCTACTGCGGACCCCAACGCATCCAGCAGCGTCCACCACCTCCTTCACTTTCTCGATCGATCCCGGCATGGCCGCAACGGCACACGAGAGCAAGCCGCGTCTCGCATCTTGGTAGTGCGTCCCGAATGGCTTACCGACTGCCAAAAGGCTGAAGGATGCCTTAGTGAGGCAACCTACTCGATCTTTGCAAAGATGCCAGACCAGAACGAGCGGGATGCGCTTGTCGAGAAAGCACTCTTCAAGATCCCCTCGCCCTTCGTGCGTCAGGAAGCACCTGTTGCGCTTCCGTTTCAAAGTCCATTTGTCGCCTCAAGCCGCTCCAAACTGGCACTTGCTGAAGCCGACCCGTTGAGGCGCGGCTCACACGACGATCAAGATGGCGATGTACAAGACGATGACGACGAGCAACCCATTACTCTGGGGTCAAGACAGAAAGCGGCAGCTGCGGCCGAGAAATCCTTCGATAACATCCTCTCTCAACTCAGACACAACCAGACCGTCTCTGCATCAGCGAATACAGAAAGTGCTCGCGCATCTCATACAGCACCTTCCGACCCTTGCCCGTCTACGTCTGCTCAGCCTTCCGCTCCTGCTTCCGCTTTCGCCTCCATCTCGACTCCACACAAGCCGCATCGCAACAGTCTTCTGCGCATCTCCCGTGCATCCAGCTTCTCACCTGCTCCATCCGCTTCCGCAATCACTCCACTCAATATGCGGAAGAATACGTCCAGCAACATCACCACGCTCGTAACCTTGCCACATTCGAGCCAGAACAGCGGCACTCAGGACACTAGGAGCAGCGGCGGCCTAGCTTGCTTCCACGGCAAGAGCTTCAGCATTCGGTTGGACGACGCTCACCGCAAAAAGGTGCTCGAGCAAGTGCTACGAGACAACGGTGCCACTGTCGTCCGTCTCGAGTCATCCGCCTTGCCCGACTATGTCGTCGTAGATCCGAAAGCATCTGCTGTCTCGCTCAAGCCGCTCGTGGAGGCTGGAACGGTCCCAGTGCTGCACTTCTGGATCGAGTACTGCCTTCATCACGAGTTTCTCGTCGAGCCGAACGACTATTTTGCCGCCTTACCCGCTCTGGTTCCCCTGCCGCTGCCCGAAGGCCACAAGCTGAGGCTACTCATGCTCGGCTTCGATCCCAATTCCCCAGAGCTCTACCACGCCCAGAAGCTCGTCGCACAGATCGGAGGTCGTATTGTCAAGCAGTCCAAAGGAGAATCCTTGACGCACGTAGTCTGCGCTACGCAAGAAAGCTTTGAAGGGAAGCGAGCTCAACGCGCCCGCAGCTGCGGCGTTCCCGTCGTTGGACTGGAGTTCATCATCAAAGCAAGGCAGACCGGCCTTCTCACCCCACCGCCTTCCTCTGTTGCGATCGAGCAATCTTCGTCAAGTTTGGCTTCGAGCAGTAGCAACAGCACATCCGTCAGCGAGCGTCACGCAAGCCGCGATGATATCGTCAAGGCTGAGCCTGATCTGCCCTTGGCAGGCTGTACCGTGTCCAGAACCAAGGCGATGGCCTCACAAAGCGTATTGCTGGAACGCAAAGTTTTGCAGCTCGGAGCGTGCTGGCAGACACAGGCTGATGGATCCACGACGCACCTCATCCACAAAGGCGCTGGCCTACCCCGCGAAGCAAAGGAATTGGATTCTGGTGCTTTTCTCGTCCACCCTACTTGGCTCGACAAGTGCATCGAGCAAAAGATCCGAGTGGATGAAGGCCTGTTCCCGTCTTCGATGGATCCCTCCAAGTCGCTCCTAACGATACTGTCCAGTTCCGATGGGTCTGCCAGCGGCAACTTCCTTTCGCAAGCATCGCAATCTGCCCTGCAGCACAGAGCGGGATCTCAGGGTCCACAGCCGAGTCAACAGACCCAGTCGGAAGTCATTGCGGCAGCCAAGCCATGGCATCGTTCCATTTCGGCTGACGCGGCGAGGCGCAGCGAAGTCATCCACGTCGATCATGTGGGTGGCGACAGAGACGCGCGATATGCAAGAGGCCAGTCGGAAGGGATCGATCCAGCCCCAGAGGGCGTGGAGGATGGCGGTGTGGGTCTGCTTCTGGAGGATGTAGATTTTGATGCCGATGTCACTCTCAGTGGCAATGTCGCACATGATGGTTTGGGCGATCAGAGCCTTCCAGCGCCGTCGAGCCAGACTCTGTTCGAGGGCGAGGAGGCAGAAGAAGATGATGAGGTCGGCGAAGTGCGCAGAGCAGCCGAGAAAACCGATCAAGCCGAACCAAAGCAATTCGAAGCCCTCGAAAAGGGACAGGACCAGATGGCGTCAGCAGACAAGGTCATCGAGCTCCTCAACCGCCGTACACTGGCGTCGGCCACTCGCAAAAAGAATCGCTTGCCGCCGCGTGCTCGCAAGCAGCGCTCCGATGATGAACCCAAGCGCAGTGAGGATGGAACGGAAGGGATGCTGGCACCGGAAAAGGTGCTCGAGGCACAGGCGCGACTCGATGCCCAACGCGCTGCCGAGGCTGCAGCTCAGGGATACTCACTTGGCATGGACAAGGATATCGGCCTACTTCAAACCACCCAGATCGGTCAGAGCTTCGACGCCAGTGTCCGTATCGTGTACGACGATCCCGCCGCCATGCGAGAGCGGACTAAGCTGCTCAAGATGCTCGGTCAACAGCAACAGCCGCCTGTCCGATCCGGCACGGCTGATGACGACGAGAATGCAGCAAAGACGGCTGGCGATCACGGCGATCACACTGAGGACATTGAGGTGGATAGCTTCGATAGGGCTCGCATCCGCGGCGCCGAGGACACCTTTGGCGCCGGTCGACGTCGCAAAGCCTCCTGGGAAAGCCGTAACAGCGAGAGTCCCACCAAACGACCCGTAGTTCGACGGCAGCCACTGGCACGAAGATGAGGTGCGCTATCAGGGCTGCTCTCGAGAACACCGCCCACCCGCATCTCTCGACTCAGCTTGATCAAGTCCCTACGATCCTCGTACATAGAATAGTCTCTCAATCACGTATTCCTGCACCTTACCCACCACTATCGACAGGGCCTGTCCCAAACTAAGTTAGAAAAGCACCACGAAGCAACAAGACTCACACACTGCGGCTCTATTTGCTGCATTCTACTTTGAGCTATGAGGGAACCCGGTTCGATACATGCCAAGGCTGGAGAGAAACACTTCGAATCCTGACTTATGCAGACCATGCGGGGAAGACCAATGCCAACGAACGAGATGAAGCTGCGAGGCTGGCTGCATTTTTTTGGTTAAGTTTTGTCAACAGAGCAAGATCGCACATCGCTAGTGCCACAGAAAAATCATAACCTGGACCCTGAACGCGTTGGGATGACGGATTTGAGGCGCGTCGGCTTGAACCTGCGAACCGATTGCAGGGTAAATGCAAACAACACGGCTGCAGCAGCCAAATTCTCGGTGTATGCTCCAACTTAGTGATTCTCATCTTCCATCCCCCTCTCAAAAGTCGACTCCGATCGTCCAGGATGGGCACAAACATTCGGACCAGTTCTTTCAGGCACATACGATCTCATTCCACCACAGGCTGAGCGCACGCAACAGGCTTGCGACCTCGAAATCAGCGACCAGACGACCCGCCTCCAGCACGGTGCAACTGCGATCCCCTCCTCGTCTCCGGCCAACACAGGACATACAAGGGCAAGCACTTCAATATCGTGCCCAACCCTGCACAACTACAGCCGCTTGAATGACATCACAAGCCTCGCGCCGGTTCCACGAAGCCGGTGTAGGATCACGAACCGGTCTACGGCTTTCCGCCGTCGCGCGAGATCAAGATGGTTTCGAGGATCTCGAAGCCTTCTACAAGGCGAGTCAGGCCGCCCTCGACATCCAGAAGCAACAACAGCCCGACGACGATGGAGCGGAAGATGAGGATGACTACGACTCTTTCGACGAGACGCGCTTCAGTCGACGACCTGCACATGGCGGTGCCAACGGCCGCAATCGTCAAGTTGCATCGAGTAGCAGTATGATGGATATTCAAAACAGTTCGGCACCTTCGCCGAGATCGATGCTGCGTTCAATCAGAGATTCAACAGCCGCGGGGTCGAGTAGCTCTCCATCTCGCGGAGGACGAGTGCGTGGGAACATCACACTAGCCGACGACGACGATGATCTTGACCTGCCGAATCTGTCAACCGGTTCGAGAAGCTTTGACCTCGTAGCTATGGGCGGGGAGGACGAAGATGAGCACGATCGCGTCTTGCGTGCGCCTCCAACACCAAAGCGTGGCTTGTCCGCGCGGAAAGGCGGAGCGACATCATCACCGAAAGCAAAGGGAAAGGGCAAAGAACCGGTCAACGCACGCAGGGTGGAGCTCTCGGACTCAGAGGACGACCGGATCCTCGCCAGTATCCAACAACGACTCGAGTCGGCGTACGATGACGAGGATGACCAGGCTGCTATGAGCGAGGAAGAGATCGTTCCGGTGAAGCCCTCGCCGATTCGGGCAAACCCAACAGCTTCTGCAGTGCAGCCGAGATCACCAAATCGACCGACGAAGTCACACGGGAAAGCAGCAGCGTCGCCTAAGCGCAAACCTGGACGGCCGCCAAAGAGTCGTGCTGTGGAGCCAGAGCCAGATCCAGAACCTGCCTTCGGGCTCTATTACGACGAGCCAGAATCAGCCTTCTATCCCGAGCAATCCCTATCGCCGCCACCTCCTCCCGCGGCTGCACAGCCACCGAAGCGCAAAAGAGGGAGACCGCCGAAGAATCCACAGCCTGAAGAACGCGATGCATCACATCGTCCGTTACAGAAATCGAAGGGTGCGAGCAACGGAGTTGGGCGACCAGCGAAAGCGGCCAAGTCGAAACGAGCAGCAGGGGAAGTGGTGGAGAAGGTGCGGTCTCAACCTCGCGAGGCTACCGTCTTTGACGAGAACGGCGTGCGCCGAAGCACACGGCAACGCTTCGCACCGCTCGAATACTGGCGTGGCGAACGCATTCGATACGGTCGTCCCAGTCTGCCAATCGGAACGACTCCGGACGATCTTCGCGGCTCGCAGCGTCGGGGAGAGGACGAGTTTGAAGAGGATCCTTCCATGATGCACATGCGCAAGCGTGTACCCGTGCTGGACATCAAGGAAGTAATTCGCGTACCGCGCGCACCTGGCGAAGGCACTTTCTCGGGCACAACACGGTCGCGTAACGCTGCACGTCGCAAGGTCGATCGCAAGAGCGAAGAGCGCACACCACGTCTGACCTCGCAAACGCCTGTCTCGGAAGATGAATGGTCGCATCTCGATCCCACCGCCGACACGATCCACGTCGAAGACGGGTGGGACGACAGGACCGTCGAAACTGGTAAAGTGATCGACGACGAAGAGGAGGCCGAAGTCGAAATGTCGGTCGTACGAACAAAGGCGACGCATCGACCCGTGACAGTTGCCAACCAAGAGTTTCGTTTCGAGAAGTTCTTCAATTGCGGTGGGCTTATGGCTACGGGTGTGTTGCACCTGCCGCCTGGAGCACGAAAGCCGACGAAACCGAGCAAGGACAACAGCTTTGTGTTTTGCGTCTTGCAAGGAGCCCTTAGGGCGACGGTGCACAGGAAGAGTTTCATCGTCGGGCCAGAGGGGATCTTCCAGGTACCGGCGGGGAACACGTACTCGCTCGAGAATATTTGTCAGAGAGACGTGCATCTGTTCTTCGCACAGTGCAGGAAGACCAAGAAGGCGAATGCGGGGGATCTGACGACGTTTACGCAGATGTCGGATACGAGCTATGGGACGCCTCAATTGCACAGGCCAAAGGATGATCAACGCGCAGAAGGCAGATTGGGAAGCGTGTTAGGTAGGACGACGGAGCAGATGGTACCGCATCGCTCGATGTTGGCACAGGACAGCGATGCGGAGGATAGCGAAGAGGACGATTTCGAGACTAGCCGACAGATCAAGTCTAAGAAGCGCGTGTTTCGGAAGGTATAGCCGTGGTCAGTGTCTCAGCTGTAGAGGAGCGCGTTGTGATTGTTGCGGAATGCCAATGCTATATACCCGCTCGTATCCGAGTTGAGCAATGACTGGGCGTAGCGACTGATTGAGATGATGCTCCTCGTCGACCAATCATTCGAAGATCGCGTTGAGCTGTTCGGAAGATCCGCGGCTATGCTTTTGTCTTTTTTGGCTTCGGCAGCAGGCACAAGGGAAAGTGGAGGATGGGGTCCAGATTTTTTTTTGTTCTTCTTTTTCCCTGAAAGCACTCGCCACCAATCCACCATCACCTATCGACGGCTCGCTATTGGAAGTCAGACGGAAGCATGGTCGCGATATAAGTCGCCTCATATCATGAGAGTCATGGTGGCTTGGAACGCGGTCGGGATGCGCGCTCGGCTGCCCAGCTTTGGGGCGGCTTCCGCTTCGCTGACGACGAGTCTTACCGCTTCATCTTCTCGAAGACCAACCACCACTGGCAAGAGCAGATCCACCAGAGGTGTCAACTCAGCTGTCTTCCATGTCAGCCCATACTCATATCCGCTCGGCCGTCGATGTATGAGCACGGTAACCGCTGCCATACCACCATCACCGCACGGACCGAAGAAGGGCGATCGAGTCGTAGTCGCACTCTCCGGTGGCGTCGATTCATCCGTCACCGCACTCCTTCTATCCCAAGCCGACTATGACCTGGAAGCAGTCTTTATGCGCAACTGGAACGAGCTCGACGAAACCGGCAACATGGAACCCGGGTCCGGTGGCGCCTCTGGCTGCACATGGCAACGCGACTGGCAAGACGTCCAATCCGTCTGTCGACACCTCGGCAACATTCCCGTCAGCATGATCGATCTAAGCAAAGAGTACTGGACGCAAGTGTTCGAGCCAGCGCTGGACGATTGGAGGCAAGGTACGACACCGAATCCGGATGTGAGCTGTAATCGAGAGATCAAGTTTGGAGCGCTCATGGATCGACTCATTCCCACCGCGGGTCAGGTGGAGGGTGGGAGGAAGAGCTGGTTGGCGACCGGTCACTACGCTCACGTAGCTTGGCACGAACAGCCTGAACGGGCGAGACCGATGCTGATGCGAGCAAAGGACAGGACAAAGGATCAGACGTACTACCTTTCCTTGGTCGCGGAGGAAAAGCTGGCACATGCGCATTTCCCACTCGCGCACTTGCTCAAAAGCGAAGTGCGAGACTTGGCGAAAAAGTACTCGCTACCCACGGCGGAAAGAAGAGAGTCTATGGGCATCTGCTTTATCGGCACACGGGGATCAGACGGTGGCAAAGCAGTATCCAACACTCAAGGCTTTTCTTCTTTTCTGAACGGCTACATCACTTCGGCTCCAGGAGAGATGGTCGACGAAACGGGTCGTGTGGTAGCAACGCATCGCGGCCTACACACCTTGACGGTGGGTCAGGGAGCACGCATCCGAGGCGCAACGTCCAAGTACTACGTAGCGAAGAAGGACATTCCGAATAAAAGGATCGTTGTGGTTCAGGGTAAGGATCATCCGATGTTACTGTGTAGACGACTGCACGTAAAAGACGTCGAGTGGATCTGGAGGGAGCCTCCACCAGAGCTCCAGCAGGGTGGGCGGGGAAGTGTCACTTTGCTGGCTCAAGTTCGACATCGACAAGTCGAGACCGAGTGTACAGTGAGGAAGACTCAGAACGGGCAGGCAGGGTATGTGGTCGAGTTTGCCGAGCCAGTCCTGGCTGTTGCACCAGGTCAAGTGCTGGGGTTGTGGCGAGGGGATTGGTGTCTGGGTAGTGCAGTGATCGATTCTGTCGATACCGTTTACGATGATCAGAACGAGGCGCAAACACTGTAGAGCATAGGTTTTGTACTAGTACCGCATAATCAACAACCATCATAGCATCCGAGAATACGACACCGAAAGAGGTCTTGAGGAGCGACTTGACGTACATCGGGTGTGATACGAAGCGGGTTCAGCCGATCCGATCCACACAGCAAAAAGTCGAGCCGGAATCCCCCCGCACGGTTGCCTTTGTGGAAAAAGGGAAATACATTTTTCCATTTGATTTGGCGACCTAGCCTGAGCTCGTTTGTACCTTCCGACACTTCCGAGCGCATCCTTCCATGTCACACCAAGCACAACGCTGTGCTCAGCTTCAATCAACGGGACAAAAGGTGTCGGAAAGCAGCCGATCCAACGAATCAGCGAGCCGGTTACGCCGCTAAGGTGACGATTCTTAGTTCCTTCCAGTACACCATCACCGCGAGACTCATCATCCTCGTCAACACTGTGCACCAACGCAACCATGTCAGCGGGCCCATCGACCTCGTCTGGCGCACCGATCGACGGTCATAGGACGCTTCGACTTCACGTCTGGGGCACATCACCATCACTCCCTACGCTCGACTCAACATCGCTTTACGCTGCCTCCCTCCTCCGCTCCACGTTTGCCGACAATGCCCATGTGCAGCTCCAGCTTGCGTCGGCATCGACGTCCCTCTCCCGCGTCCCCTTGCTGCAAGTGCTCGACGGCAACAGCCACACAGTCGAACTTATCGACAATGTCGAAGCTATCCGCGCGTTCTGCGTTGCAGCTGGGCTCGATTCTGCGCTCGCATCGGATGAAGAGCTTGCAGCCAAGCAAATAGCTTTGCACGCCCTAGTCGACGACCATCTGCTTGATCTCACCCTGCATTCGCTGTTCAGCCTCCCTTCCAACTTTCGCGCCGTCACGGCACCAGCATACTCTTCCGATGGTGGTACCCAGGCGTCCGCTTCGTCATTGGCAAAACTGGCTTCGTTACCTATGCGTTTCCAGCCGTCGATCCCATCCCGACTGCGGAACGTGGTGGAAACGCGCCTCACCGCCGTCGGTCTGTGGGGTATGGGTGGGAAAGAAGCCAGCACCAAGTCAGGGGAGTCGGACGAACTCGCAGCTCGAGCAGGAATCGTCCCTGCTCGAAAGAAGGGTCTAGGTCAGACAGCGAAACAGGCTGTGCACGACGAGTTTGAACGCAGCAAACTAGTGACGAAATGGAGGGAGGTGTTGGACGTTGTTGACGCTGCCATTGGTAGTAAGGTGTTGGGAGTGAGCGGAGTGGGTAGTCTGGATGCACACGTGTTTGGATACCTAGCACCACTGGTGTTTGCTTCTCCCGACCTACCGATAGATACCCTGCCAAGGTTGATCAAGACATCCTATCCGCGACTGCAAGACTACCTCACCAGCACGAAGCAGCACCTTTTCCCCGAAAACGCAACTACCTGGGCTTCACCGTCAGAAGTTCTCTCCACACCACCCGTTCTCCAGTCATCCTCAACCTCAACATCAACGTCAGGACTCCTTTCGTACATCTGGCCTTTCACAGCCACCTCTTCTTCAGACAAGGCAAGTTTCACCGCCGACTCTTTTCCAGCCACCACTTCCGGTTCAACCCCTACATCGACGTCGTACCGTTCCACCGCGGGAGCCGGTCAGCAGAGGAAAAAGCCAAGCCCGTCAGCGTCGCCAGAAGATCGCAAGCTGCGACTGGGTCGCGCGCTATGGATCTGTTCCGCCTTGGTGGGTCTGGTAGGGTATACGTTTGCCAGCGGCATTGTGAGTGTGCGTTTTGTCGACAGTGATGAGCTTCAGCAGCAGGAGGACGAGGAGGATGACGATGACGAAGATGAGGACGAAGATGAGGAGGACGATGAGGAGGAGGAGGATGGGTGGGAGGTGCAGACCGAAGAGGATCTGGAGGATGATCTGGAAGAGATGGAATTAGGCGAAGATGATGACGATGACGAGTATTGAGGGGGGAAAGTCTCTAGACTCGCTGCATGCTGTGTAGTATAATGTCGCTGGACGAAAGGGCGAATCTGATGCGGTTTCACTCCTATTCATGCTGTGATGAGGTACAGTCTGCTGACATTGAATCTTTCTATCTACCTCCATCTCAATTCTGCAGCCTCCAACCGACTTTGCCCATCACGATCCGAGCACACTCTGCGCCGCCTCCTCCACGACCCCCTTCTCCCTCACGCCGTCGTCCTCTCTCTCGCCAACTTGTCCTCGCAAACACCACATAGTCACCGGAACGTTCAACTCTCCCAACCTCTTTGTCCTGACCTACGACACCCTCGACCCGTCCCTCTCCATCACCCACACCATAACCGCCGAAGGACCGCACCAGTACCTCTCCCTCGGTCTATCCTCCACTCACCAACAGACCGTCTACGCTACGACGTGGGCCACCCCTTCCACCCTTTCGTCTTGGCACGTCTCCCCCACCGACTACAACCTCTCCTTCGGCAATCGAAAGCAGATCACAGCTACGGGAAGTTATGTGCACGTTCAACCACCGCCTTACTCGACCTTCACTTCGCCTGGGTTTGGATCCACTCCCGGGATTGCGCGCTACCTCGGGTCTGCTGGTGGACCTACGGGCGAGCTGCACGCTCTGCACCCGGAAACGGGGTTGATCGAAACGCGACTCCACGAGATGATCTTCCTACCGGGCGGTGAGACGGAGCTGAAGACGGCGGACAAGTCGCGCAAAGCGCTCCGGTACGGTGCACACAGCTTCGACTGTTCCTCTTCCTCGAATGGAGAGCAGGTGGCATTCGTTGCGGATCTAGGGGCGAACGCGATCCAGGCATATCAATTTCCTTCGCTGCAACACCTGTACACCGTCGAGTCGAAGAGAAAAGGTGATGGTCCGAGACACGTCATCCCCCACCCGCACGAGAACCTCATCTTCACCGTCACGGAACACTCGAACTACGTTGACGCCTATCAGATCCCCTCCTCCTCCTCCTCCTCCTCCTCCTCGCCGCTCACCGGTGAGATCCGCCATGCGGGGGAAGCAGATATGCTCACACCCACCCAAGCCCGCAAAAGAGGCGATTGGAGAGGCGACACGCTGCGCTTCTCCTCCAACCTCGACTACCTCTACGCCACCACCCGCGGCAAGACCACCGAAACCAGAGGTCTGCTCATCGCCTACCGTCTCGCCATCACCGCTGCCGAGGACGGCAGGCTCGGCGTGGAGCTGACCGAAGTGGATCGGTTCGTGACGAGGACCAGCGGAGGCAAGGCGAATGCGATCGAGTTGTCCGCACACCTGATCGAGCAGGGCGTCGACCATATGGTGCTGACGGACGATGAGGACGGGTGGATGGACGTCGTAGCCTTCGATTTTGGCAGGGAAAAGTTTGCGGTGAAGGCCAGTACGAGGTTGCCCGAGCTGGAAGGGGGTGAGGCGCAAGGTGCTAGCCATGCAATTTGGTTGTTGTGACAGCCTCTGAGAAGGATCGCACTCTTCCAGACTCGACATCCCAATGCCCACGCCCCGCATGGAGCGATCGATCGATAGTCATCCACTCTTTTTCACATTCACACCGCGACAACGCAAACGTCACGCTCTTGTTTCGACAGGGTAACTTATTTGCCTCCATCCAACATGAAATGTGGTTTTGTTTGAACGAAACGCAATCGGAATGACCCTTGTTTTTGAACCAGCTGCGATTTGACGAAAAGAGAATTGCTGAGAGGAAGAAGGACAAATGCGTGTATAATGCTCATTCCCATGACATGAGGACCCAAAGAGAGAAAGACGCGAGAGAAGACCCAAGAAAGAGAGACAAAGAGAAAGAGAGACGAGATATAGACCAAGTAAGGTGGGAGAGGTTTTGCGTCCAGCGCTAGGCAGATAGCGGAGAAGCGCGTCGTTGAGGTGCCGGTTTGGAGAGGCCATATTTGGAGTCCAACATTGCCTCTTCCGGAGGAGACTCGAGCTCAGGTGTCGACAATTCCGTTCCGGCTGGGCTGAGCAAGTCGGGTGCATCCATCAAGCTTTCCGACCCAGACGATGTCGAGCTGTTACCGGCCGTATCGTGACGCGACAAAGATTGAGGCCCGGCCGCTGACGCCATGGTGGACGCTTCAGGCGTGAGCGACGAGGTGCACGAAGATTCGAGATCAACAGCTGCTTGGCCAAAGGACAGCGACGAATCAGTTAGCAAGTTCTGTTCACGCGCCCAATCGCTGGTGCGTGCGTGGCTGGCAGGCAATTTCGTTTTGCTGCGATCTTCACCCGACATGATGAAAGGAAAAGCAGATGCATCAGCAGGAGGCGTCGCCGTTTGGATACGAAAGACACGCTGCTCAGCATCGTGCGCGATCGGATCATAACGCTCTTTGATGTCGCCCGTATCATTGTGTGTCGACATCGGCTTGCTCTCGCTAACCCTGGCGGTCGGTGCTGGACGCTGCACCTCAGCGGTCGGTACACCATTGGCGTTGGAGGCGATGGCCGCATCGCTTGCTTGACGCTGCTGCTCCATGGTCTTTTCCAGCAGACTTTGCCTAGACTGCGTATTGGGCTGGATTCGGAGCCTTCGCTTGGGTCTGGATGAGCCATGCTGCGTAGCGGGCAAAGAAGACTTGAGGACGAACGCAGGGGCCTGCGCCGAACTCTGATTGGCCGAAGTTGAGCGGGCTGAGGGGGTCCCTGGGCTTGCCGACTTGGCATGCTCGGGGGACGTCTCTGCAGTACCGGGCTTCGAGATTGCCATGGACTGTTTGGAGAGCGTCGATGCACATCGCGAAAGACCGTCGCCGGCAGAGGTGGCGCGTTGGTGAGCACTATATTGCACCTCGACCACCTCTCTGTACGACGAACGTGGCGATGACTTCACGGACGACTGCGACGCACAGCGCTCAGGAACCGATGCCAACGGCGTGCTCGAATGCAGTGGATCTTCAGCGAGGGATCCGTTCGACTCGACCTCGCTGAGACCGTTGTCGACGAAACAGAAGGTTCGCTCGTCACCTTCTTTTGGCACCAGCGAAGGCTTTCTACGATGACCGAGCAGGCCAGATGTGGTCGCACCAAAGCTCTTGGATGGAGCCAGGCCAACTGCGGAAGGCGCTGGCACCTCACCTAGTGAGCCGAGAGGCTGCTGCCTCTGAATGATCAGCTCCAGGGTCGATTCGGTGGCAGCACGAGTGAAACGCTGTCGAACAGGCTGACTGGCCTCGGAGAAGGATTGACTCTTTGCGTTGATGGTGGCAGCGCCGGTCGAGGCGATTGACTTGGCCGACTTTGCGTTTTGGTCGCGTTGTTGAGATGTCAAGGGCTGCGAAGGCTGCGAAGAGACGGCGTCAGAAGACTGACTCTGCCGGGAAGGATTGCGATCGAGCCATGCGTTGTGCTCGATAGCGTTGGCGAAGGAATGATGTTGTTCGCGAAAGGGAATGTTCCAGGTGATCGAGCCCGGCTGCTCCATTGGCGACATGCTAGCCGAGCTATGAGGACTGCTGACACCAAAGTAGCTGGCGGAGCTGGCCTCGGATGTACCCCGTCTGCTGCCCGAGCTACGATTCTTTGCACCAAAACTGGTCACGAAGCTCATGCGTGGTGATGTGGGGCCGCTGCCCGCTGTCATCTTTTTGTGCGAAAGAGAAAGTTGACTTAGATGAAGGTTGAGGTCTGCATCTGCACTACCTGATCGACTCTCTACCGAGCCTGGCTCCGACCCGGAACCCTCGCTGCTGTGTATAGGGGACGCAACACGATCCGTGGGACAAGCGGAGGAGCCCTTGGCGCCGATGCCAAAGAGCGAGTCGAGACTGGGTGGAGCATCGTGCCCATCCGCGTGCGTGCGAGAGCTTGGTGCAACCAAGGCAGAGTGCTGTGATACGATCGACTCGCGCCTCACAGTCTTGCTGTCAGATGGACATACGGTACTTCCGCTGGATGAGCCTTTGACCGTGGCTGGAGGCTTGCTGGCAGGTTGTCGGAAGAGCAATTCGCCAATATGGTTGCCGAGGAAGTCGTGACCAACGAGCCTTGCCGCAGGAAGAGTGTGCATGTTGGGCAATGTTATGGCGTGGACGCGGAAGGCGTTTAGGTGCAGGATGATTTACGCTGTACACATGTGTGCTGGAAGGGGCTACGTCCGGAAACCAAGCTATCTGCCTTGGATGAATGCTCGAATCGATGAAAGAGATTGTTGAGAGTGTGTGAGAAAAGGTAGAGTGCACAACGCCGGTCTCTAGTCGGGTGTATGATGCTTATGAGGTTGCTGACGAGTGTATGCCTGCCCGGACGATGGCCAGAAAGAAGGCTGCTAGTGGTCCAGGCGGATAGAAGAATGTGGCGCGGATTGTCGAGGAACGGAGAAGCTTCAAATTGCTGACGAAGGCTCGTTTTCGCGGCCAATGGCGTGAAGGCTACTGCTGTATGTGACGCCAGTCGGATGAGCTAAGGCACTGTAGTCGTGGGTTGATCAGGCTATGGTGGCAATCAAGACCTTTGACATGAAGAGGCGATGAAGCGACTGTGCGATTGCAGCAGCGTTGCTGCGATATGAAAAGATCGGCGCTGCCGAGTGGAAATGCTGATGGTCGACAAGCAGACTAGGGTCTTGAGACTCGGAATCGGTGATGGGTGACGTTCAACCTTGAGCAGTGTACACGAAGGTCTGCCGGAGGACGGTTGAGGAAAAGGCGTTGTGGTCGTGGAAGGGTAAGTGAGGAGGGCGGTGGAGGGACGAGCCAACTTCTCTGTGTACGCCACGGCTAGTGAAGAGAGGCGTACAGCAAAGCACACTGTGCCAGGATGTAGAGCGCTTCCACTCGACCGTGCAAGTTGGTGACCCTGTCCTCGGCAAGCCTTGTACCACAAAAAGTTGACTCTCTGGCACCGCAGAACCACAAACCTCGAGTTCGCGTTGACACTCGCCGGAGACAACCCGCAAGACTGAGCCAGAAGGCAGCTCCTGTGTCTCCTGGCGCATCACAGGGTGCGACTGTGACTGGCATGCCAAGGCGGCCAAGGCAGGACAGGGCGTAGCAATCCGTTCGGTGACTTTCAAACACAATCAGGGCGCCAGCCCGCCTCGCCAAGAGGCCCAACTCCTGTTTGCTACAACTAGCTGACAGAGAGAGCTGTCGCTGGGGATCGAAGTCTACGGCAACACTGCCGCGCCGCTGTGCTGAGGCCCACAGCGGGACCCTGAGTGAGATACACAAAAAGTTCCCGTCACTCAGCTTGACTTGTCCTTTCCGTATTTTCTTTAACTTATTTCCTATTCCTTTTTTGGTTTCATGTGTTGTTTAGGCATGAGACGGTTACGCCGCTTTCTTCGCTTTTTTCTCTCAAGATTGATCTTTGTTTGCTCATTTCGCTGCGTCTGGAGATCGGAACGGTGCTGAGCATCAATGGTGCCCATGCGTCCGCCTCGGACTGTTCGCATGCCTTGCCCCTTAGGTACGGAATCTTGCGTCGACTGACTCGTCACTGGATTGCCTCCGTCGCGCCGAGAATCTCGTCATCTCAGCCCAGAGTCCGGGAAAGCATTGCAACGCATCATGCTGGGAGCAGATAGGTCTTTTTCAGCGGGAGAGTGCCACTTGGCTTCGGATATTCTCCTATGCGCTCATCAGGGATACTCTGCCTAGTCCTTCTTGATGGATTTGGGCCTCTTAGCTCGTCATCAGCGCATGCCTATCCCGCAGATGCCGCTCATCGTTTCGTTTGCGTTGAACCGGCTGCGTCAAGTCCCGACATGCCTTGTCGCTCGAGGCATAGCATCTCTTCAGAAGAATTGCAGTCAGAAGAGCAAAAGCCGCTGTGCATACATTACCTCGGCAGAGGCGTCGACATCGCCAACATCTGCGGCCCAATCCCAGGACCGTTCAACCGATGACGAGGATGGAAGGGCAGCAACAGAGAAATGCGAGGGATGCGAGGGATGCAAGCCATCCCGGCATCGGGGCGGACTGTACCGTAAGAATGACGGATACGGGTCCTTCAGGGTCTCTGGGGAGACAGCACCGTACAGCTGAGAGATGAAACAAAGCGAACATCGCTGCATGGTCCGATGGTGACGGAATTTCTTCCACCGTCATCGGCGTTGGCAGCTGTCGAATAGCGACGAATACAAAATCCATCTAGAAACGTCAATCTTGATTACATTCCCGGGAATTTGTTGGCAAGATTTTGTAAGGGTCAACATGCCAGAATTTGCGATTTGGCAAAGCTCGCTTAGATCCAAAAAAAGTCGCTTTGCCTCCACACCGAAAAGGAGCTAGACGGCTTTTGAAGCCGACTGTGAAATTCGGAACGGTCATCGACAAACAACTGATCGTTTCATCACGGCTCACTGCCAGGCACGACCACTACACAAGTCATGCTCCGGATTCCCCGACTGGCAGATTACGCCGCTGACCACTGAGGAATCACTCACGCTGCGCTCGGCAGTCTCGACGATGAGTGATTTGATACCTGCCATACCAACTTCGGTTCTCGGATTTCGGATCAATAGAGGTCTCTCTTTCTGCCGGCGTTCTCGATGCATCAAAAGGGAATGTGCATGATTGACCCGGTCTGCGATACGAACACACGGCACGGGCCAGCGTCGTGTCTGGCAGATGCATCATCTTTTCGGGCGGCGCTATCTCCATGTGGCTTGCTGCGGTCTGATTCTCGGCCTCAGTCCAGACTCCGCATGATCGTACGCAGCACGATTCGCTCGCACGTAGCAAAAGGTATGGTGAAACGAGAGGAGCAGGCAGATCGCTTTCTAAATAAAGCTTTCCCCGAAGCATATTGCATTCACCAAATAGGCTATATCAGCTGACTGGAAATGCTGTATTTTTCGTGGTCCGGCGCGTTGGTTGTTTCCGATCTCGAGCACCTTGTCCGCAAACGATCGACATTTGCATTGTGACCGGTCCAGCTGCGCATATGCTCAGCTGTTCGTTTCGGTTGCGCAATCCCGTTCGAACCTTGAAATTAGAGCTTTCCCTCATCCGGTTCCCCTGAATTTTCTCACATGCCCAGCTACTGCTGTCATCCTGCGCCTGTCCTCAGCGCTTTGCTACTCTGCTCGTTTCGTTCGGCAGCTACCGTGTTTCAGCGGAGAATTAATCTAGGTTCGAGCAACGTCGTGCCTGACCTCCCTACTCACTGCCACAGAGTGTCCCTCCAGAGCCGCTGAAACACCGAAGTAGTCTTAGTTTCCAAAGCAGCTGCGCTTTGTCCAGCTTGGCATGCGAGGTTGGCCCGTTCGTTACCACCGCTTCGTCTGCATCTCGCCGTCAAAAGACCGCAATTGAGCTCAATCGAATTTTCTCGGCAGAAGTATGACGTTTTCTCGTCGATGTTCCCACGTCGATTCCCGCTGCACTCAGACATTGGAGTCTTCCATGAACCGGAAAGCGAGGAAGGATTCCCGCTCTTTCTCGTTCCCGACGTGGCTTTGCCCTGTGGGAAATCTGTTTGTCTTGCTGTCTTTCAAAACCCGTGCATTCCGTCTGAGCCTCCGACATTTGCTTTCCGCTCGGACTTGAAAGCGCACTTAGGGCTGGTCCGCTTGTTTCCGCGTCTATCTCTAGCAATATCAAATTCAATCCGAATCAATTGGTGCATCTCAGAGTTTCCGAAACCAACATTTCTCACTGATCGCATCGACGACTTTGCCCAAGATCGCCAGCTCGCGAATGACGTTCGGTCCCATGCTTAAAGGTGAGCACGCAGAGACTTCTATGCACGTCTGCATACCTTACCCGATACGTCTTTGCCTTTTTTTTCCTTCGGAAAGCTCTACATTCCGCATGATCACAAGCCACAGTCTCGGTCAAGTCGGTCAACAGAGCAGAGAGGTTCAAACTCCGCGACTTCGGTGTGCAGAAAGGGCCGTTCCGTAACTTTTAGCTCTGATTCGCACAAGAAAACCTGTCGAGATCGAGAAAGCAGCTGTCGCTTGTACTTTCTTTTGAGTCTCTGAGATGAGCGCGTATCAGCGAGAGGTTGTAGTTCCGCCTCCAGCGTCGCTAGCCATCGTCAATTCATCAAATGAATGATGCCGCTGCGATCTCACAATCCACATCACGTTTTGCGCTCTCCATGAAGCAGTGAATGAAGATTTGTATTCCCCTTGCGTACGAGACGTCTGAGGAACCGAAACAGAACAGAGCTAGAGCTTTGCACCGCCTCGTGCGGCGCTCGCCTTTGCGCTGGATCGAGCAGCGACGACCGATTCGAGATCAGCGTACTGCGCGTATTCCTTCAAACTCTGTGGGTTGGCGGTTGCGCTCGACGGTTTGAACGCAGCATTACCGTTGACGACAGCCTTGACTGCCAACTCTGTCTTTTTCCCGTTCAACGTCACTGGAATGTCCTGGACCTGGAACGTATGTTCGGGAACGTGTCTTGCCGAATACGCCGCCTTGATAGCCTTGTTAAGCTGAGCAATGTGATCCTCGCCGAGCGCAACGCTGGGGTCGCGCATCTTGATGAAGAGCAAGACTCGTTCGTGCTCGTCCTTGCCCGGTCTACGTTGACCGACAACGATGCTATCGCCGACAAAGGGGAACTTCTCGACGACGCTGTAGATCTCGGAACTGCCGAAACGCACACCGCTGGGGTTGAGGACGCCGTCGGAACGACCGAGGATTTCGAGGCCCTTTGTGGGCTGGTCTTGGTAGATGAAATCGCCTTGGGCCCAAACCTTGCGACCGGGAAAGCGCGAGTAGTACGAGTCGAGGTACTTTTCGTGCAGCGCTTGCTTCTGATCCGGCGGGCCGAAGAATCCAGTCGGCTGGGTTGGGAAGGGTTTCGCAACGATCAGCTCGCCCGGTCTACCCGTATCGTCGATCCTCTCGCCCGTCTCTGCATCCCACACCTGGATGTCAAATCCAAGCATCTTGCTCTGGATGAAGTTCCCATACAGAGGCAGCATCTTGCTAGGTCCCACCAGTACACCTGCCATATCTGTACCTCCTGAAATGCTGCAGAGATGAGCCCTCTTCGGGAACTGTTGGTAGAAAAACTCCACGTTCTTCGGTGACAACGGCGAACCTGTACTCGTCATCATCCTGAACTTGGCCAGATCCAACTGCTTGGCGATGCTGAACTTGTTTTCGCTGCAGTACTTCTCCAACTCGCTCAAGAACCTCGGACTTGCACCGTAGCCGGAACACTTGAGGTGCGAAACCACCTTGACCACGTGCCCCGGGTTGGGATACATGGGAGATCCATCGTACAGAACAGCGGTGCTGCCCATCGAAAGCGCTACCAGGTGGTAGATCCACATGATCCAACCGCAACTGGTGACCTGCAGGAACGAGTCCGACGGTCTGAGGTCGAGCATGAGCAGGGCTTCCTTCTTCATGTTGAGCAGGAGACACTGCGTGTGGATGATGCACTTGGGTTCCCCTGTGGTTCCGGAGGAGAAGAAGATCTGGACGGGGTGTTGAGCGGGAAGCTGTTCGAACTTGTGAGGTGGTGAGTCGGTGATGTTGAGACCGGTCTGTTGGACGAACTGGGAGAACTCGAGACCACGAAGTTTGGTGGAAGTCCAGGTTGGAGAGGCGTTGGGAAGACGAGTGTTGCGGATGATGACGACCTGGAACTGGAGGGGCGAGTCGATCTTGTCGTCTGCTTGAAGCCGTTCTGCTACTCGAGTGACTCGATCGAGGATGTCGACCTGTTTACCGTTGTACAGGACAGCATCGTCCGTGAAGAGGAGTTTGGGTCGGATTTGGGCCAGACGACCGTAGATGGCTTGGGGACCAGCGTCGGTTGCGATGAGCGAGTAGATGGCTCCTACACTGTTGGCCGCCAGCGTCGCCACAACAGGTGAAGTGGTGTTGGCCGAGACGTGCGCCAATCTATCCCCTTTCTTGACCCCGATGCGTCGAAATGCCTCAGCCAACAGCGCGACTCTCCTCCTCAATTCGCCCCACGTCACCTTGACAGCTCGAGAGTTGACATCCGATTCCGCCAATCCTCCACCTTCGGGCACCTCAATCAACGCCACAGCCTGAGCATGAGGCCAGTGGTACGGAGCCTTAGGAGAGCAGAACGTCGTGTTGGCGGGGTGCAACGGAAATAGAATGTTCTGCGCCATGCTGAACGACGCTCCTGGGAACCATTCGGGCAAGTCACCTGGGAGAGCATTCGGATCCGACAGAACGCGATCGAACCGACTCGATGCTCGGATACCAGCAAAGTCCCACACAGTGATCCAAAAGTCCTCGAGCCGATTGATGGAGAAGTCGTGCAGCTCGTGGTAGTTGCTCAGGTTCAAGTTGAAGCGAGCATTGACGAGACGACGAAACTTGTCCAAGGATGTTTGTTGGATCTCGTCCGGTGTAGGCGACCACACCAGAGGTTGAGCGGGGGCGGCTGTCGGCGTGGTCATGATTCTGGCTGTGCTTCGACGCGGCAAAGCTAACGATGGTGGTGGGCTCTTGAGAATATTGACGGGGGCTCATCGAAGAAGTATGTGTGAACGCCCCTCCGGCTCAATCGGCTCTCGAATGCAACCGGAAGCCAAGATGCTGCCCTTCCCCCACTTGCACCGAAAACGCGGGGCACGGATTGGCGTGCTTATCCGGGGAAACGGCGTAAAAGCGAGACCGATCTCCTGCGAAGTTGTGAGAGGAGAAACAATTCAACATTCAGACGGGAAAAAACAGAAGCGGAGCCTAATCATTTCAGGTTCACGCCGCTGAGCTGCATGGCGCACATCACTTTAGCCGCACTCGACCGCCTTGCCTCGCTCAGCACCACCATCCGTCAATCCCTCGACACTTTTACAGCCATGATCGTACTAGCTCTGGTCGCCAGAGGATCACACATCCTCTCCGAGACACACGATCCCGCTCACGATCGCTTCCTCCCCGCAGCGCAGACCATCCTCTCCCGCATCCCGCCCAACTCGTCTAAGCTCTCCTACGCATTCGAAGACTGGCTCTTCCACTACGTCTCGCAGGATGGCATGGTCTACATGGCCGTAGCCGACTCCGACACTGGCCGTCGTATCCCATTCACATTCCTCGCCCACGTCCAGAAGAAGTTCCTCTCCTCCTACGAGATCCCCCCTCCATCATCGGACGACTCCTCCGACGTGGACTATTCAGCGCTGACGTCGACGCTCGTAGCACTCGTCAAGCAGTTCAACAGCGATCCGCAGGCGGTGGATCCCATCGCACAGGCGAAAAACGAGTTGGCAGGCGCCAAGGACATCATGACCCAGAATGTGGAACAGATCCTCAGCAGGGGTGAGAGGATCGAGCTGCTCATGGATAGGACCGACAATGCGGCAAATCAGAGCATGGCGTTCAGAAGGAGGGCGGTAGGGTTGAGGAGGCAGATGTGGTGGAAGAATGCAAAGGTCATGGGGTTGGCGGGGTTCAGCGGGCTGGTGTTTTTGTTATTCTTGTGGGGCATGTTTCATTAGACAGTCATTAGACGGGTGATGTTGTTTGAAGCTTCGAGCTGGCTGAAGTGTGTGTGAATTGAATGTTGTGGTGCAGTTTCAGGGCTGGAGTCTAGAGATAGGTTCTCGAATCCTTGGACACGGGCGCCCCCGCAGGCCAGTTTCCCCTACTCGTCGCCGTCAACTGCGAAAACGTCGTGCCCACACCTCCCTCCTCCACCTCTCCTCCATTAGCCTTCCTGATCGCCTCTACCTGGTTCGGCTTCAACGCCGCCAGAATCAGATCCAACCTCGGCGTATCCACGTTATGCTCCCTCGCCTTTGCCACCACGTTTCCGATGATCGGTTCCAACTCCATCGGTCTTGCGTTCTCCAGATCCAACAGGATGCTCGGCTTGAAGCTTGCAGCGAGATTGCCACCTTTTGGATCGTTGACGCCTTGTACGGGACTGGTCATGAGGGTGATGTTGATCGCCTTGTCGACGCTTGAGATGGGGAATCTGTCTTCTCCGATTCCGCAGGCTCTGGCGACGTAGACGATCTCCAGCATGATACGGCGGACGACGCCGACCGAGTAGTGCAGTGTTTCTTCCTGGAGCAGTGCCGAGACGGGTTTTCGGGCTAGTGTAGATAGACCTCCCCAGGCGGCGTTCCAGAGAACCTTTTGCCAACGGATCGCTTCGATGTCTTGCACTGCTTCACCTCCACCACCTCCCTTGACGTAGATCGAGGTGAATTCTTCCAATGCCGCCTTCTGTTCGGCACTTGATTCGATCGGATACGTTCCCATCTCCAACCTCTCCAGCGATCCATGCGTTACCCTCTTTCCCCCATCCACCAGATTCGCACCGATCCAAGCCACCGCACTGATCACACCACTCGCCACCTTTTCTTCCGCCTCCACCAAACTCGCATAGATCTCCTCCTCAATCCCCACCCCATTCTGAAGCAGCACCACCGTCGGCAATTTCTCTCCCCTTCCCTTTCCAGGTTTCAAGAAAGGTCTGATCACCTCACTCGCCTTTTTGTGGTCAGGAACATTCTTGAACGTACACACCACGAAATCGTAGTACCTATCTTGCGCTGCGGAAGGTTCCGACTCTCGAATGCATCGATGCGGTTTCCACCCGGTGAATTCTCCGTATTTCGAGGAAGCAATGTCGATTCCCGTGGTTGTGAGGGTGGTGTAGTTGGAACGAGCGACGGCTGTGATGTTGGCGGAACCGCGCGAGAGGAGGAAAGAGTAGATGGTTCCGAGGGCTCCGAAGCCTACGCAGAGAATTTCGGGTTTGCGGTCCGACATGGTGCGGTTCGCGAGAGGCTCCAAATTGTCTCGATTGTGGTGAGTCCAGTGTAGAATCGACGGGTCCAGTGAGGGCAAAGAAGATGCCGGAAGAATGGGTGGTACGGAGGGACAAGGTTGACAAGGATCGTCCAATCTTGACTTTGAGCTTTTTTGGACAAACACCGCAAAATCCAGCCAAATGGGGTCCTGGACACCGAGTCACGAGCACAGACCGCCTGTGCACATCAAAAGTGGGGTCTTCTCGGCCAATTATCCGGCTATTCGGCTATTCATTCTGTTCCCTCCTTCCTCACGATTCAGAAGAACGCTGCTTTCTTGCTACCTCACGATGCAATTCAACACATACGCACATGAGACAATGTCAATGAAAACGCTCGTCCAGACTCTGTCAGCACTTCTCGCAGAATCATCATCGCATTCATCGGACTCGTTGCACGAGCGTGCGGGATCAACCTCAGTTCCTACCACCAACACTGCTGATCGAACTCAATAGAGCCAGCACTTCCGAAGCCTGCTCCCGTTCCAGCTTCTCCACTGCCTTGTCATGCGACGATCCATCCTTCGCCGGCTCGAACTTCGTCTCTCCCGTGCCCTGATCGTCCAGCTCTGACTCTTCCTTTTCAAGCCGTTTCCTGGCTCTCCTGCTCATCCCTAGCACTTTCGCGGTGGCCGGCGTGATCAGCTCGAGCTTGGCGAAATACAAACAGAGCAACAGGCGATGCTTGAAACCGTACGTGATGTCTCTGTTCTCGCTTTGCTCTGTCTGCTCGCTTCCGTCTGCCTCTCCCTCCGCCTCTGCTTTTCCGTTCGGCTTCTCTTCCTCGTGAACTTTGGTCGCTGAGAGACGGAACGCGCTCCTCCACTCCAGAGGAAGCTGACTTAGTGTCGCCTCGATGACCTCCCTCTCCGCTACATCCTCCACTTTCTCCTTGTCCTTGCGGTCCCGAGGACTCGGCGCGAAGGTATCCACCTCCTTCGCAGCCCGCAGTGGTTTGCTCGAAAGGTTCGTGAAACATCGCACAACATGCAGCAGCGTCGATCCGGGCTGCAAATGAAGAGCTTTGCCGAGATCCGTGCACTCGAGGCTCGCATCGCCATCCTTAGCCCCTTTCCGCCTCTCCACCAGCTTCAAGTCAACCAGCGTCTGTACTAGATCGCTTCCGATCTGAGTAAGTCGTGCCGCGACAGATTCCGGGTCGTTCGATGCGCAGTCGTAGTACGTCGGATTGCGCATCAGCTCAGCTGGCAACACCGTCCAACTGAGCACGTCGAGCACATGCTCGTCCTTCGTAACGACACCGGTGACGATCTCGCTCAGCACAGTGGGCAAAAGGGGTGCTCCACGATGCTCGTCCTGAAGCAAAGACGAGTGCAGAGGCATGCCCGTCTGCAGCATCTTTTCCAGCATCCGGGCCTTATCCGTCTGACAGAGCACCAAACACTCGCCCGCTGGATTGGGATCTGACAGCGTTCCCGGTCGCACAGCCAGACTCTGCGCTCGACCTAGTTCAGCGAGGCTGTAGTCGACCAGCTCGCGATCCGAGGCTCCCGTACTGTGCGCTTTGGTTATTCGCACGTATTGTGTGCTCATGACCACCACGAGTGCGGCTCGCAACGTCGTGCTCCAAAGGCATTCTCGAGTGATGATAACCACTTTCAGCAGACCTTGTTCGTAAAGATGCTCGATGACCGTTCGATCCTGAGGCACCGTCCGTTCGTGCACGATTCCGATGCCGTGAACCAGCGCCTCGTGCAGCGAAGTGTCGAGGATGTGCGGAAGGATCGATTCGATCTCCTCCGAGGGCAGACCGAGGAAGCCTTCCGTGTCCATTTCGGCGGCGGCTTTGGTGATGAGGTCCGAAGCAGCTGTGAAGCATTGCCACATTGATGGGACGACCACGATGGCGGGACCTTTGTCTCGGTTCTCCTTCATCTTGTCGAAAGCCGGCTTGACCATGGCCTTGAGTAGTCCGCTCGAGTGCGGCAGGTCAAAGGCCTGGAAGCTGGTGTTGAGGATCGACGGACGGTCCTTGGGGTGGAAATTGTAGGTCGACAATTCGTCTGCTCCAATCCACTGTGCCAGAGAGCTGGCGTCGTTCAGACTGGCGCTGGTAGCGACGATGCGTGGCGTTACAATCGAGACTGCACTGCCGTTGGCGCGCTGGCGTGCACAGCACCACATGAACTTTGCCAGCATCAGTTCATACCCTGCATCCAGCAGATGCAGATCCTCGGCCATCAACAGCGAGACGGAACCCACAAGATCCTCTCCCACCTCCAGAGCGCGCAAGAGCGAAATGGACGTTGTGATCAGCACACGTGTCCCGAGCCCATCGTTGCGCACAAAGGGCAGCACTTCTTTCGACAAGGAAGTCCTTTTCACCTCGACACCCTTCTGCTTGAGCGCCACAGCCAGCGTGCTCTTCAGAGCAGACGCCAATGTGTCGCGCCTGCTGTGCACGACAATGATGCATCTCTTGTCACCTTGCTGCAACGCTCGCCAAACGGCCATTGCTGCAACGGTCGATTTGCCAGAGGCGGTCGGTCCGCACAGAAGCGTGTTGGCCGATGTGTGCATCAAGGTGTGGAAGCTCTGCGTTTGCAGCGCATTGAAAGCGCTGAATTTTTGTGCGTACATCTCGCAAAGCAGCTCGTCCGGGAGCGCCGAGCGCACCGGTAGCAGCGGTAGGTCGAGGAGAGAGTCGTGCGTTGGGGGCTTGTCGGGAACGACGAGGTCGTCGAACGGAATCCACTCGTTCCCCTCGCTGCCCAGCCACGAGTCTGACATCCACCTCATGTTCAAGCCGGAGGGCAGCGTGTCGGACAGAGGGATCGTAAAGGTGACTGTGGACAGGTGCGAATCGGTGACACGTGTGAGATGCGTGAGCCACTGAAGGATCTCTGAGCCTGCCTCGTCCTCGATCCAGATATAGAAGCCGTGCAGGCGTCCGAGGTCGCGCTCGCTCCAGTCGAAGGTGCGATCAACTCGCACATCGATGCGCAGCAGATCGTGGCTGAGCGGTCGCAGCGATGCTGTCGTCGCCAGACGAGGAAAGCTGCGAGCTGCCTGCTTCACGGCGCTGCCCATCCTGGCATTGACGCGTATGAGCTTGGCAATGTCCGCGGCCGACATTTCGGCCATCTCTTCTATCTCGACATCGTCCGCGCGCTCCGTGACTGCGTAGAGAGTGTCCGGGTTCAGATGGGATTGCTGTAGCGGATGGTCAAAGGGCCACATGCGCTTCTCGATGGCCTTGCTCATCGAGATGAGAGCGGAGGCAGTGCGAGCCCATCGGCGGCTCAGAGCAATCTCGAGCAGAGAGCGGATGATTCGTCCGGCATTCTGAGCAACATAAGCCGAGTCCGAGACGAGCGCAAAGTCCTCGATGAAGGTTCTAGAGACGTAGGCCTGCAGAAGAATGTTGACTTTGCCGGGCGATGTTTCGATGCCTCCGGATACTTCGCAAGGCGCAGCCTCGAGCATCTTCTTCAGCTCCTTCTCCTCCGCATCGCGTGGCACAATTTGCTCAAAGTCAGCAGCCTGGCTGAGCAGACCGAGCACGTCGGCTTCGCTCATGTTGCTTCGCATGCGCTCATTGAACGTCTCGATGGTGCGGTAGCCAATGTAGTACTTGGCAGCTATGCGGCCGAGATCGGTCACCTGCAGACGATCCGTGACGGGATCGTGCTCGACCATCTTGGTCTCGACAAGCTTCTTTACCCCGACGTTGACAAGTTGCTGGCGCTTGGCTCCCAGATGGGGATCGTCGGCCACCTCGTCGTACGTCATACCGTACGTCAGCGGAGTTCGCTTCATGCGTGTAAATAGATACGTGTAACCCAGCCATGACACACCGTCACGGACGCTGGCAACGGTGCCGAGCGAGACCTCGGCATTGAGCGAGTCGATCATTCCGCCGATGAATTTCGACTCGATGGGGTGCTGCGAAGTGATGGCGTCAACGTAGTGCGAAAGGCGGTCTTGAGAGGTCAGGATGTATCCGACACCGAGATCCTCGTACTGCGGACGACCGGCACGACCGAAGATCTGCAAGACATCAAGAATGGACAAGTCGATGAACTTGCCCGCAGACGAGTCATAGACGTCTGTGCCCTTGATCACGACGGCGTAGGCGGGCAGGTTGACACCCCATGCGAGCGTGGCCGTACAGCAGAGTACACGAGTGACGCCGGCTTCGAACATGCGCTCGCTGAGTGTACGATCGCTACGCAGCATACCAGCGTGGTGGATGCCGAAGCCCGAATCGAAGAGCTCCTTCATCTCGCGGTTGCGACTGGATTGGAGCTCCTTCTTGAAGAAAGCCTTGCGCGGGTTCTCGTCTGACGAGGCTTGCAGGATGTCGCCCATGGCCTCTTCGCGGAACATTTCTCGAAGCGTCTGCGAGGTCTTGACAGTCTCTTTGCGCGCATGCACGAAGACCATGACCTGATGGCCCGCCTGGACGAGCTCCGACACCTTTTCGAAGCAGGTCTTGTCGAGATTAGCTCGGGCCTGTTGCGAGCCCGCCTTTCCTTTGACACCGAGGAAGTGCTGTTCGAGCGGAACGGGTCGGAAGGACGAGTCAAAGTAGAAGAGTCCCTGCCAGCGGTTCACACGCAGGAAGTCGGCGACATCGACGTAGTTTGGCAAGGTGGCTGAGAGTCCTACGATGCGGATGAGCGACTGGCTGGACTCGACGAGGCGCAGTGTACGAGCGACGATGGTCTCGATGACGGAACCACGTTGGTCGTGAAGCAGATGCACCTCGTCGATGATGAGCAGTCTCACCTTGGTGGCGAGCTCGCCTTCACCGGTGGGCTTGCGCGTCACTACGTCCCACTTTTCTGGCGTGGTGACGATCATCTGCGTCTCGGCAATCTCTTGGCGCGTCATCTGCATGTCACCGGTGAGTTCGCGCACCTTGATACCGAGGTATTGGAGACGCTTGCTGAACTTGCGAACGATTTCAGCGGCGAGCGCCTTCATGGGTGCGACGTAGATGATCTTGAAATCGTTTTTCTGAATGTCGAAGCCCTGTGCAGCGTTTCCGGCGGTGGGCTCGAGGTTTCGAGCGTACTGACTGATGGCTCGCATGACGGTGAGCATGGCAACGTCGGTCTTACCTGCACCCGTCGGCGCACATACGAGCAGGTTTTCGTTGGTTTTGTAGGCAAGCGGGTAGACTGCGCTCTGAAGTCGATTGAGGCTCTTGTATCCAGGGAATGCGCCACGGCAGATTGGATCCATCTCCGGGATGGGAACATAGCGTTCGTTGGTGCGCATAGGTACTGTCCGCGGTGGTGGGATGGTCACCTCTTCGTAGAATTGCTTCTCTTCACGACTTGTGCCGAGTGGAAGGGCGAAACGCTGTCCAAACACGGAGAGTACATTGCCTTGTGCTCCCGATGAAAAGACGTGCGGATAGCGTACCTCTTCGGAGCCCGTCGCTGTACCAGTGAATAGAGGACGATTCGCAGCGGCAGCAAGGCTCTCTTCGCGGATGCGCTCGAGCTCCTCGGGAGTGTAGGTACGGATGCTGTCGCCTGGGTCAACAGCGCGTTGGCGATTGGCTTTGCGGAGATCGTTCTTGAACCTTCGCGCTTGTTGACGCTCCTCCTGGGTCTGTACGACGACTTGCGAGCCGGGAATGTGGGGCCTGTTGCCGCGATGGAAGGCATCGTGGGAAGTGCCGTGGTGAGCTTGATGGTGCGGGAGATGAATCTCGACTTGGTCCTGATTCGAGAGGTTGGACTGCCCATTTGCTTGAAGCAATGGATGAAGATCGTCCTGCAGAGCTGCACGTACAGCTTGACGATCGCTGACGATGTTTCCGACCAAGTCGAGATGTTCGAATCCGATGATCTCTGCCAGTTCGGCGGAGATCTCGTCGCCCGATCTTGTTGAGGACAGAGCGGCCAGAGCACTTTGGCGCACGCTCTCCGCGAGCTGCGAATCGACAGCACTGAGGTGATCAAGATGGTCGAAGAGCTCTGTTATGGCAGCAGATGAGCTGTGTGAAGCATGACGATCGATGCCAGTGGGCTGATCCGCTGCGGAGCTCTCCATTTCATGTGCGTACAGGTCGATCGCATCCTGACCAGCGTGCTCGACAGAGCTGTTGTGGGAGACGAAGCGCCGAAATTGGGACCACACGTCGTTCAGATCGCTGACGTTGATTGCTGAGCCGTTGGGGAGTGACAGCTGACTAGTGGACGAAGTCAGCGAATCGAGCTCGGCTTGAAGCGAGCCTATGAGCTGCTGGTCGACATCGAGCGTGCGTTGCGAGCTGGACGCTGCGGACAGGAAAGACTGCAGATGATCCTGTATCGTCATGGTGCTTGCGGCGGTGCTCACATAAGGCTACGATGGTTGATGATCGAGGGGGAAGACTGTCGCACAGATGTGCCGGCTGAGTCGAATGTCGAGGCAGAGCGCGATCTTCTTCCTGGCCTCTGCTGCTGAGTCTGCCAAAGCGATTTCGGAGCTCCGCACCCTCCACTTCCGATTTTCTGCAGAACTTTGGAAACATCGACCTCACATCCCAAATATTTAGCTCTGCCTTGGTGCGTGCCCCCAGCAGTGTTGCAACATGATCACTTACCTTCGCCCTTGGGTTGAGCTGTACACTGGAGCGCTTCTGTTTGGATATGAGTACCGAGACTATTGCTCTGTGCATTGTCACCATGCTGGAGCGAGCAGGGCATTGTCTTTGAACGTGTCTCGTAGGAATGCAGGAAGAGAAAAGGGTCCCAAGAAATCAGTGCAAGAAATCAATCAGAAAAACTTGACGAAGAAAAGAACCCGAGAAAATCATGTGACCGCTGCTGTACGCGGCGCGTGCGATGCCATTTACGCGAAGCCACTTTAACGAGGGCGTTCGCTGGGTCGCCACGCGGACAGCTGTCAACAGGAAAACACCGAACCGCACGCGAGGTTCTTCTCGACCGCGTGTCTCACTCCACCTGACTTCGATAAATTCTGCTAGCGTCCTAACAGAATCGCGTATGCTCGCCCCTTGAGCCATGCATAGACGTCGAGCGGGGCCAGCGTCGAGCGCGTTGCGTTGGTCAACTGCAGGAACAGGAACAGGCCATACACCGATGGTCGCTGCCCGACGTGTCAGACAGAACGGCGCGCTGCTCCTGCTCGCGTTGCTATGCAAGTTTCGGTGAGACATGCTGTCATGACAGCACAGCGGTTCTCTGTGCGTGTGAAGCACAAGGTATGGAAGAATGATAACCTCCGGGCCGTGTGAGAAAAGAACGAAAAGATCACCATCGAGCTACTGTGCATCGATGTCAGAACTACATGTGCTATCGACAAGACAAAGCAGGTATATGGAGCTGTCACCACGTCAGTCCAAGAACTTCCGACACGCATCGAAGTACGGCGCAACATAGAGCAACACATCGCATGCTGCGCGCCTGGTAGCGAAGCCGCCCTTCGAATACAGACCTGCCTTTTTCAATTGCAGGTCGCGGATGCGGATGCGTCAACCGCGAAGACCGCGTTGTATTCAAGCAGATTCGACTGAGAAAGACATCATCGCGCTGACTGAAGACCGCCTCCTCAGCGGCGTCGGCACGGCTTTTTCTATACACCTGCCAATGACTACGTCGTCAACGATCGACTGCAGAGGCCTACCACCTGCACCACGGCGATTGACATGTGTTGATATGGAAGGCACATGAGAAAGCTCGACGAGGTGCCATACGATTGCACTTTCCGTCGAGCCCACGCTCCTTGAACGCGAGCTGCGTTGAGCCCCGACGACAAATGACGATCACAACGATCTCTTACCAGCGATAGATAGCTTGTACTTGACAGCCTGCTTACTGTTGCCTGCATCGCGCTCGCTTTCGTTCTACGTGTTGAATATGACCGCGAATCTCTAGCGTAGCGTTTCTATTCAAGCGTGGACCGACTCGCTTGGCCAGAGTGGGCAGCAATAACCGCGAATCCAGAATTGGCCGCTGCAAGTCCAAGCAAAAACGAAGAGCCAAGGAGTCCAACACTCTTCAAGGCTGCCTCACCAGGAGCACTGCGAGCAGCCTGAGAAAAGGCGTTCGAGTTTTTGAAGTCCAACGCCGCTTCGCGAAATCGCGTCCAAGTTGGACCCACTTGCACGCCAGTCAAAAGTCGAGAATTACACGAGACGCCTCTTTTGCACGGGCACGTCCAAAGGCGCCAGTACTTCGCAGCAGCCAACAGCCAGCAGGCAGCAGCAGGCTCAACCACTCACCGCCAGTTGACATTCAGCGGTACGAGCCCTTCAACAGCACCATTGCTTTTCTGTCCACTCGCTCCCTCCCTCACTCACCCACCCGTCTTCTGATTGCTGCGTTTCCACCCCTCTGTCTGCTCGCCATCCTTGTCGGCTGCAACCTTCTTCTCGTCGACAACTCGCTTGTCTTCAACGTCGAGGATCGCCACCGCCATCACAGAGCCGCGTCCGATTCGCCGAGCGTGCACAAGGATCAGTCCGCAGATGGCCTTGTAGTCAGCGCAGTCGTCTAGGTCTAGGTCTTCCGTCACGGCAAGGTCTTGAGACATTGCCAGCATCGCTGCACGTCTCCGTCCATCTACGCGATCGTCGTATCCGGACAGCACGCGCTCGCTTGCGTCTCATCCACCACCATGGATGCTGCTGTTGCCATCGACGGCGGCGAGAGGCGCTTGCCTCATTCCTCGCCCGCTCTCTCTGTGATCAACGCGCAACGTCATGCGTCAGAATGCCAACGCGGATCTTCCCAGTCGGACGGTCGCGACGCCCACACGCAAACGCCGCCGCAACATCATCTCCAACCGCGAAGCAGCCCAGCAGCCGCGTCCGTCGACAGCTTCTCCTCGTACATCAACAAGGACGCCGCGCTCTTCCAGAACCGCTCCAGCTCGCCACGCGCTGATGACCAGCTTCGCGACAACAGCGACCCAGCGTCTCAGACCACCAGCAGCCCGCGTCCCCAACCTCGTCACTTGGTCACCACGCCCATCGTATCGCGCGACGCTTTTCGTCACCAGCCATGGCTGCAACACGACCTTCCGCGGAGCGCCAGCAGCGTCATGTCGATCGAGCATCTGCACAACGACACGAACTCTCAGCTGCCGCGCCACCAGGCCGAACACGCTGTCGACGATCACGTCGACGTAGGTACACAAAACCACCGCTCGCCTGAGACCCGCATCGAGATGGCAGCACACACCTTCCACGGTCAGCGCGTAACAGCCTCGCCTAGTCCAGCCATCGACGTCAACCGTCTTTCGATGTCCAACCTTGCGCAGAAGAACCAGCAAGACGACGTCGAAGACTCGGTGTACGGAGACTCGATGAGTGTCAACCGAGGTCCTGCTTCCGTTCTGGCCGATGACTCGTTTGACAGCACCGCCAGCGTCGTGGGAGAGGACTCAAAGAACGAGATCCGCCGAAGAAGGCGAACGCGTCCCGACGAGGCCAACCTGCTGGCTCAGGTCTATGCGAAGAACCCTTTCCCCGACCACGAGACTCGCCTGTTCCTCGCCAACCGCGTGGGCATGTCCGTCCGGTAAGTTCATCTCAGCGTTGATTGACCATATCGTCGCGCGATCTGTACTAATCCGCTGTTCTTCATGTTCTTTCCCCATGCAATCGTACTTGATCTCGACAGAGCTGTCTCTGTTTGGTTTCAAAACCGACGACAAGCCGAGAAGAAGCGATCAGGAAGGTATGGTGGCGCAGGCATCGCTCCCACCTCATCCGTTGCAGGCGACAACGCTGACATTGAAGCCACAACCGCTGCGGAGGATGCTCCTGCTACGATCCTAGCGCCTGTCGTCGCGCTCGCTCAACGCAAGCCTCTGGGCAACGCTTCGGCTAACGGTGCCGCTCCTGCAAAGCACTTGGACCCTCAATCGATCACGGACCTGAGCAGCAACAACAAGGAGAATATCCCTCCTTGGCTCAACGGCCTTGCTACTGAAGAGCGGGTGCAACAGCGCCTCGAGAAGATCAAGCGCGAAGCTCCTCAGGCTAGCCTGTCCAAGGAGCAGGTGCTCGCACCTCGTCAACCCGCGCGTGACCTGCGTCAGGCAGTAGGCCCCGAGGGAGTGGGCATCGCTGTTCACCGCGTGCAAGTCGATCGGACGGTGCCCGAGCAGCCGGCAACGGCTGAAGCTGCCGTAATTAGCAGCTCCAAGTCCTCGCTGTCGCGTCATCGTTCTGTGCCGCGACTGTCGCTCGACGATGTCCTCAGTGGACGCAGCAAGTCATTGCGACGATCTGCCACAGAGCACGCCGGGCCGTTGATCGCCGCGTCCAGCGAGCCGGAGCAAGAGCAGCTCGATACGATCCTGCCTCCGCCCAAGGTCCTGTCGCGTGCCTCTAGCTCATCGAGCCTAAGCCTGCTCACCACGTCAGGTGGCAGGGCTAGCATCGGCAGCTTGGGCCTGCGCCACGAGGCACCGGTAGCCGCGTCATCTGAGGATGTGCGACCATCGCTGACGTCGAGCCTGCCTCCAAAGCTGACTGCAGCGTTGCAACGACAAGGTATCATCGCGATGCATCCTGACGCTGATGGTCAAAAGGCCCAGGGCCAAGGTCTGCTGCAGATGATGCCCAGCAGCAGCGCGTCGAGCAGCGAAGCCGATGCTCTCTACAGCAATGATCAGCGCAGAGACCATGAAGAGGATGAAGAGCGAACGCTCAAGATGATCGCCCAGCGACGAGCAGCCAAAGCTCAAGCTGCCGCTCTTGCCAAAGCGCAAGAAGCGAGGGAACGAGCTGCATCTGGAGAGACGCCGGAGCGCGCTGGCGTGGTCGGGCTTGCGCCGTTGCATCCGGGATGTGCCGATGCGAGGCAAGCGATCGTGCAACAAGCCGGTCTTCTTGACAGCTCTGCTCTCGTCGGAAGCACGCCAAAGTCGGGCACGTCGACCGTTGTTGGTCTTGGTCCAGCGCGACAGCTCAGCCTTGATTGGGCAGCCGGACGCGATCGAGCCGCTACGTCGGCTCTTCCGAAGAGCATCGGCGGCACCCCTCTTTCGCGAAGCGTCAGCGCGCGTCAACTGACGATGCCGCAACCTAACGAGTCGACTCCCCTAACGCAGCAACGCAACGCAAAATTGTCGGACAGCGCTCCGACAAATGGGGAGAAGCGCAAGGCCGATGCCGGCAAGGCAGGTCGTCGCTCGCTGTCGGCCACGGATCTGACGCGACGATTGCAGCAGGCTAAGCGAAAGGGCGATGCAGCGCAACGCAGCGTCAGTGCCGGGCGCAAGCGTAGCGCTGCTGTCGCTGCTGCTCTCGAAGCTGGAGACGAGAACGTCGACCCGTCAGCCGCGACCGATGCCGCTGCTGCCGGCGCTCCCGCTCAGAATAGCGCGGGCAAACAATCGGCTTCTCCGGTCAAGAGGCGACGAGCGCAACTCGAAGACATCGTCCTGGCCTCGAGCCTCGCTGAGCCCGCTGTATCGTCGAAAGCGACCGCTCCCTTCGGCGTGGGTATGGGTGCTCCTATCTCGCCCTTGCTCTCGTCGCGACCATTCCTACCTCACGCGTCATTCCCGTCTGCCTCGCGGACCATGCCGACCATGGTTGTCCCCTCGACGCCTCAGAACAGCTCGCTCTACACTTCGTCCGGCATCCCGCTCAGCACGCGCTCCGACCGATTCAGAGCCATCGGCGCATCACCTGCCGGTTCGCTCGGTCGTTCCATCTCTGCCAACTACACATCGCATCGTCAGCTGCCCCGCTCCTCTGCTGCTCGCGACCACACTGGACCCAATCGCAACTGGAACAGCAATGCAGCTTGTCACATTCGCACCTTCAGCAACAACGATGAAGGTTGGACTCCGCGCTCGAACGGTGGTGGTGGATCCATGTCGCAGCCTCTACCCGCGTCGACGCCGTCGCGCGTGTTGGGCGATCGAACGAACTTCGCCTCCACTCCCGCTTTCCACCACCACTCGTCCCACCACAGGGTGTTGCCGGGTAACAGTTCCGGCGATTCACCCTTCGCCCATGATGACAGTGGATTCTTCGAGGGCATGAGCGACGACGACGATGAACCCAGAGAGCAGATCAAGATTTCGCCGAGAAAGGCATCGTTGAGGAGCATGAGGGCGCCAGGAGCAGAGAGCGGCGACGACCGTCAGGCTGCAGAGTTGTTGTTGGGGTTGGGAAAGGTCGATTCTAGCAGGGACAGCTCGTCGAGTCAGTGACATGGAAAGAAAAGGGTAGGTCGGATTCATGAATCAAACAGGATGGATGGATGATGTGCACTGAGCTGTACTGATCAAGCCTTACAGCGATCTCATCAGCGATAGGCTATCGAATATTCAATATGCACATTTTATCGAGCTCTCTACGGGTGTCTTCTGATCGTGCAGGAGTGATGTGCTGTCTACACAAGCAGCGACGAGAGGAGAGATTCTGCGTCATGCTTCTGTGATTTCAGAGGGATGAGACTATGTATCGCTCGTGGCGTTCACTGTAATGGATGAAAGGGCAGGGTATAAGAAGAGTTCGAGTGGTCAGTACATACTATCTCTTCATGGCGCACGTGGTCGAGCTCGACTTACCAGCTCGACCTTGATCGTTCTCGGGGTATCTGACTCACCAAGTAAACCGCTCTGCGTTGCGTTCTCTCTCTTCTGCGCAACACTTTTGATATCGAGATCCAGATACTCTGCCACCGTGAGTCGCAAGATCATACTCCAAGCATGCATCGTCGGATAGTCCAGCGCGGTGACATCGTCCGACATTTTATGCCACACCGAGGGGAAGGGTGATGGGATCGCGTGCAGGATCGGCACGCCAGCATGCAAGAATGGCAAGTGATCGTCCTCTATGCCTCCCCAAGGCTTCTGCTGCGAGAAGAAGGAGCGCGTGTTGCGATGTGAAGTGTCTCCGGACGGCCAAAGCACGTTTGCCTCGTTCAGCCGTTTCTCTGCATCCGTCATTGCCTGATGTAGCCATTTGGTGCTGTCATAGTAGGACGGCACGTTGGGGTTGGCTGCACCCAGCAAGTCGAGCAATATCAAATGCTCTATCGTGTGCATATGCTGTATCGGGCCGTACGTGCTTCGATACCTTCTCGCAGTGAGCTTGGGAGCATGTGATGTTCGACTCGTATCGAACTGAGTCGCATCCCAGAAGCTGCTGGTCCAATGTTGTGCGAGCTCTCTTGACCCATAGATGGAGTCGGTATGTGTCCAGACTCGATAGGCTTCCTCTCCGTCAAAGAAGACGAGCTGCAACGTCGTCTCCTGCGCTATCGACGGCTTGGACTGTTCCTCTGCATGAATCTTGCGCTCCCTCGCATCCAACGCATCATCCAACGCTACGGCCAGATCCACCATCATCGCACACGGCGCAGCGCTATCTGTCGCACCTACAAAGCCAGCCATTCCAGACGCCGCCGAGAAGTACTTGGAGTCGTAGTGCGCCGAAACGACGAGCTTGCGTGGCGCTGCAGGGTTCTTGGTCAGGATCAAGTTGGTCATCGTCTTCTTCCCTTCGGGCGTATCAGCAGCGAAAGTGTGCAGCTCCATATGCCACCCGAGCTTGCCCTGCGTCTTCCAGTCCATGGACGAGAAGGAGGAGGAGTCCTTGGCCCCGAGCTGGTTGCGAAAGACATCGAGGATCGCCTCTCGCACCTTGCGGCTGTTGTCCGTATCTGGTGGTCGTGGAATGAGTATCTGTGAGAGCAGCGATTTGGAATTGCGTGTATCGAGGATCACAGCTGGATCCGATAGTGCGGCAACGGCAGCTATGGAGTCTGAAGAGAGGCGACCATAGTCTCTCGTCTGACTGCGGACGGCGTGGGCTGCACACCAGCCAGCGAGCACACAGAGCGCCAGTGCCAGATCCAACACCCACTGGCCCCCTCGAGTCCGTCGTCGGGTACGCCGTAGATTTGCGACCATGGCTGATGTTCGTCTTTGACGGCGTAAGTGTTGGTGATAGTAGAGAGAAATCCGCCATTCGACAGCTACAAATCACGAAATGTGGTCCATTCGCGCCAGGGTCCGAAGCCGGAAGATCGGCTCTTCCGCTGTCAGTTCGGAGAGCCTCGACGCCTCTTGGCGTTTCGGATAAATCGGGCAGATCGGCACTTGTCTCCACATGTCCAAACGGGATCGTCTGTGCTCCTTCCTTCCACTCCGACAGCCTACGACTACCTATCTACTGCCAACAACGGCGATCTTCCTCTCGGCGTCGGTTTCGCTGTGAGACTACCACAGGCAGCATATGTAGAAGCCATGGTCTGCCTCTTCTGCTGATCGCAATACTGTCCAACCGGTTCTTTCAATCCTCACGCCTCAGTCAGGCGTCTGCCGGCAAACTACGAATCGTCGGAGCCGCACCATGTCGATACCTCAGCTCGACGAGCAATTCTTGCCTCGCCTTCTCGCGATATTCTATGCAACGTTTCATCCTACCGAAGGGCCAAAAGTCATCTATCAGGTACCGGAGGGATCCATTACCGAGGAAAAGGCGTCTTCAAAACCGGAAGCAACTTCCTCCGCTGCAGCGTCCGGGCACCCGCAACCGACACCGACGGCAACAGCAGAGCCTCTCTTTGACTTTTCCGCGCTTTCCGAATACTTGATCCCGAAAGCCCCTCTGTGCGGAAGGCTCGTCACCTCGATCGCTCGTGGCAAAGCCACCGTTAATCAGAGGCATCATGAACGTCCTTCTCGGGCGCCGTCCGTGGTTCCAGGGCGTTCCGCTTCCGCGAGGTCTGGGGGCTCCTCCAGAGCTTCCTCAGTGAGACCGAGAGGCGCTCAAGATGGCAATCCGTCGGACAAGCAGCAGCTGGAGCAGCGGACCTACAAGATAATGGGCTTCCCAACGCTTATTGAAGATGCTTCCAAGTATCAGAGAAACAACTTTATCTTCAATCTCTGCTTCGTCTTTGAAGGAGAGACGGACATTCGACCATACGAACCGGTCGTCAGAAAGTGCGGTCGAGTCCTTCGCGGGCTCGAAGAGACACAGTCGTTCCTGTCGAGCCCCAAGAGCCTGCCACGCATGTACGGAGTCATCGAGCAGCTTTTTGAAGATCTCAGCTCGTACCATGAAAGTTTCGTCGCGCTACCCGAGGCGCCGCATACGTCCTATCTCAAGCTTTCCTCCAAACCAAACAGTCCAGAGGCGAACAACCTCATATCCGCAGCTATCGGTCCGGACGACTTCATCTCTCTAGGCGCAAGTTTCGCTTCCTTACGCGGCGAGCATCATCGCAACATCATCAACGAAAAGCTCAGGCTCAAGCAGATGCAGCAAGCACAGCTCTCGAATACTCGACCAGCATCTTCCGTAGGCTCGACACGTGCGAGTCCCACTCACCACCAGGCGCCGAGCGACCACGGCGATGTCGGGGGCGCACGATCTCGGTCGGGATCTGCTTCGTCGCCCTCGGAACTCGGCAGGATTCTGACGCCGCTCACGACAATTCGCAATCAAGCTAATCCCATGCTGCGTAGCAGCAGCGCTTCCGGAATCAGTGGCCCGGGCTCAGAGGGACCTAACTCTCCTGTCTCTGCACTGTCTCCGAGCGGCCCAGAGGGGCGCAGACCGAGTCTGGCAAGATCGTCCACCATTCTAGGTCTCAGTGACGACGCTGCACCGGGCGCCTTTCCATCGGAAGAGAGTCGCGACAACGCGATGGGCATCGTCAGCTCGAGAAGGCAAAGTGATGTGAGCCGCGACCTCAGTGCTGCCGAAAGCCTTGGTAATGTCCTGACCAATCATGACAGCGGCGCGTACGATAGTATCAACACAGCAGCAGGCACGCAACGCTCAAGTCGCGGCAGTCCAGTCCTCGGTGGACAAGATGCCGAGAACGAATCGACGCTGCTTGAGCACCTCACCGAGAGTATCGTCTCGCTGAGGACGATCGACGCTGCCCTCTCCAACTCCGTCAACGCGCTACGCACAGAGACCGGCGACGCAACGAGACGCACGGCGCTTGTCGAGAAGCGCGAACCACCTCACGGCCTTGGTCGCACTGTCCGCGATGCCATCAATCTCAAGCTCTTTCCGGTCTTTCCCAACCCGACACCGATCAACGACTGGGATGTTCCTGTAGCGCTGCTGGATCTTCTGTCACGCGTGGATGGCAACTGGGATCTGACTATGCGACGGATCTTGCCTTTCATCGATGGAGTCAACCACGTCAAGCGCATCGCTCAGCTCGCCGATGCCGATCTCGGCCTCACACGAGCGTGTCTCGAGCATCTCATGTTCTACGGCTGCATAATTGTCGTCGAGATCTTTCAGTACTTCAACATGTACACGGTGCGACCTGCGATAGCCAAGATCGCAGACGACCAGGCGCTCGGTCGCGAATGCGCAAACTACGTCACGAGACCTGGGTTTTCGAGCCGAAGCTATCCGGAGCTTCTTCGGCTGTATTCGCTGCTCCGAGCTGGCACAACGCTGCACGATTGGATCGAAGACAATGACATTGACTCAAAGGGGATCGATGTGCGTCGCTTCGTCTCCTTTGGTGTAATACAGGGCTTCTTGCGACGAGTACATCGATATCCGATCTATCTTGGGTTACGTGCAGGCGATGACGGGGTGTCGGCGTTCGATACGTCGTTGGTCAGCACCGTGCGCAACTCGCCAGTGATCAATTCACCAGCGATCAAGTCGAACGACTCCAACTTTCGACGTGCAGAGACGAGCGATCAGCATCGACGGGAGCAGAGCGGCAGTCGCGAGCCGCGGGATCGACGACCGCGCGAGCTTTCGGGGATGAGCGGAGCCTACAGTGCTTTCCAACGCATCGGCCGGGATGGTAGTGTCGATAGCCCAGGAGTCGGGACGCGCACACCACCGACGCGAAGAGGAGCCTCAGAGGCGCGACTGAGCGACGTGGTTCTGGCAGGTGCCGGTGCGGCCAATGCCAGCGCTTTCCAAATGGGCGACTCGTCCAACACGGCCAGCGGCGGAGGCGGAAGTCAATTCAGCACGTCGCCTGCCAAACGACAAGCTCGCATGCGACAGCGACCTGGCTATCGTCAAGCGACAACCACGGCGGTAGATGTAGCTGCTGTGGCATTCCAAGCGGAATGGCCAGCGCAGACGGCGACAACATCTGGTCCTCAAGCACGGTCTCCACGCAAACGTGCAAGTGCCATCGGTTTGAGCACTGCCATCCCCAGCACGACGACAGCTGGAGCTACACCCTCAGCTGGAGTCTCCGGTATCGCGACGGCCAGCGGCGGCGCTCACACCCACCCTCGTTCAGCCGTCACGGTAATTCCACCGGAACTCATCGACATGCTAGACGGAACACACAGCGACGACGAGATCTGCGTCCACTTTTCCATCTCGTGGCCCGACCTCGAAAAGATGCTCATACAAATCGGGCTCTCACCAAACAACCGCATAGATCCGAACGATACGGATGAAGAGGACATTGCGTCGACTCAACGCAGCGATTGGAGGCGGTGGCCGGGAGGCTCCATGTTCGGCACGATGGCTGCGGGTGGTGGAGCCAGTTCAGGATGGAGCAAGCCGAGGATGTCTGGGTTCAGCGGAGGAGGTGGTCACCCCGGCGCTGCAGTGGGGAGGAGTCAGGCGAGCGTGATTGCGAGCTCCGGACATCAATCGAGCAGGGGCCAGGGGGCAGAGTCGAGTGGATTTGGAGTGCCTTGGGGCAATGATCCGGATGAGAGCGGTTGGGGGCCGATAACGTTGGATCGCGAAGCAGTCGAAGCGGGCGATCTGGGTCTGGTGAGGATCCTTTATCAGTGAGGAGTACACATACCCGGATGATCAGAGATCCGTGACCAAGGCAAAGTGATCTCAGATGACTATCCTTTGCTCGATGTCGTGTGCCGACCCTGTGTGTGTTGTTTGCGAAGGCAAACAATTGCTACCGCAGAGAGATACTGAGTGTGAGACTATCAGTACACACAACGCGTTCTGCGAATTGCGCACAAACCTCCACACTACGAGCTGCTGTCAAGGGAAAAAAAGACGCGAGCAAGACTGAAAAGCTGCCCAAACCTCGGCAAAGGAGCTTTGTTCGACGTCATGTTCGTATAAGCCGATTCCAGTCTTCGCTGCGGGGAAGAATGCACATCGAGACGAGATCTTGTCAAGACGTTCCTCCTTTCCTCACCCACCACGATCTTCATCTGAGCCAGTCATTCATATGCGAGCGCGTCCACTATAGGCAAGACGACTCCCCTCTCCACAATACCGCAAGCAACGAGCTTTCATTGTATCCGGTGTCAAGACGACCGCCAGCATTCGGTCCATCTTCCCCCTTGTCGCCGCTGTACGGCGGCTACACGCTGCACCGACTTTCCGTGCCTTCAATCTTTCTTCCTCCCTCACACACCCGCGCCCGCAGACGTTGAGCATCTCCACCGCAAGACCGCAATTCGAGATGTCACCAGCTGCATCGACTCCGACGAGGACATCGCCTCGCAAGGCAGCCGCCTCCTCCTCGCCTTCCAAGCGACAATCTTCGACGGCTTCGCCAGCGATCAAGACTGAAGTCGAGGACATCCATTTCCCTCCCACTCCCAGCTCGATGGGTGGTTCGCCAGCTAGGAGCAAACGCAAACGAGGTGTCAAGACTGAGACTGAAACTTCAGCTATTGGCGACCTTCTTGCTTCGTCCTCTGTGAAAGAAGAGGAGGATGTTGACGATAAAAGCGGCTTGATTTCCGAGCCTGCTTCGCCGAGCAAGAAGCAGACCACGTCTGAAAGGAAGTTGGCTTCCTACAAGACGTCGATTCTCGCGTCGCCGTTCCCGGATCACCCGTTACCTACGGCGGAAGAAGCCGAGCGAGTGGCATGGATCTTGGGCGAGTTCCACGGCTACAAGCGCGAGTCCGAAGGTGGTCGGGGTCTGCCCAAGTACACCACACCCAAAGGGGAAGATCGATGGGGAGGATGTGGTGATGTTCCCTCGGTACTCGATGCGGTCATCCGCACGGTGCTCAGCTGCAACACTTCCAACCGAAACTCCGCTGCAGCCCATCGCTCCCTCACCGAACACTTTGGCAACCAAAACTGGCAAGCGATCCACGATGCACCCGAATCCGAACTCGTCGAATCCATCCGCTGCGGAGGTCTCGCCAACAACAAAGCCCGCACCATCAAAGGCATCCTCCGTCAAACCCACGAACGACACGGAACCCTCTCCCTCGACCACCTCCACGACGCCACCGACGACGACATCATGCAGGAGCTCGTAAGCTTCAACGGTGTCGGTCCCAAGGTCGCCAGCTGCGTGCTGGCGTTCTGCATCGGCAGGGAGAGCATGGCGGTGGACACGCACGTATTCCGGTTGTGCAAGGCGTTGGGTTGGGTTCCGGAGAAGGCGAACAGGGATCAGACGTACTATCACTTGCACGAGCGGGTTCCGGGTCCGTTGAAGTACGCGTTGCATGTACTGTTGATCAAGCATGGGAAGATGTGTAGGAACTGCTCGGCGAAGGGGTTTGCGACGGTGAAGGAGGAGAGTGATGGGGAAGGGGAGGGGTATGTGGAGAGAGAGTGTCCGTTGAAGAAGAACGGGTTGTTGGGGAGGAAGGGTAAGGCATTGAGAGACGCAGCTGCCGGTGGAGGTGGGGTGAAGAGTGAAAAGGTAGAGACGACAGTCGAGTCGGAATCACCTTCGAGGAAGAAGGTCAAGATCGAACCTTCTTCCTCCTCCGACATCGACTACGCAGCAGCACTCGAACGTGCACGCACAGCAACCGAACAAGACCTCCTCCGTCTCCTCCAGAAATCCCGATCCACGCGTTCCTCCAACCCCATCTCTTCCACGCTCAAATCGAAAGACTTTTCTCTCGAGATCCTCGCCTCCTCCTCCCTCTCCTCGGAGCAACGCAAGCGCGTCTTCTCGCTCTTCGAGAGCAACATGAAGTCCATGTATCGAAACTCCACCTTGGGATGGAAACCCTCGGCCAAAAAGAAGGAGCTGTTCGACGACCAATCGCGCTTTGTGATCATCCGCCCGCCTGCCAAGGAAGGCGCCGAGATCGCTGCCTTCGGCATGATCAGGTTCGACACCGAGCCGTGTTCCCCCAAAGACCCGGTGGCGAGGGATGGGGAGGAGGAGGTGGAAGTCGCGTACCTGTACGAGATCCAGGTTCGACAGCAGAATCAGAGGGACGGACTGGGCAAGGAGATCATGGAGGTAGTGTATCAGCTGGCCAAGGCGGTGGGCATGAGGAAGGTCATGTTGACCGTGTTCGATGAGAACAAGGCGGCGAGGAAGTTTTATGAGAAGATGGGTTTTGGGAAGGATGAGAATAGCCCCAGCAAGGAAGGGGGTAAGGTGGATTTCGAGACCATGTGCAAGGTGGTCCAAGTGTAAGGGCGAAGGCCAATCAATGCTTGTATCGCGTGAGACTTCGTGCTTGATTGCGGGCCAGGATCACACAGAGAAGATGAGGGAGTGAACCGCATTGAAAGCAAGATCTGAATGTGTTCAAGTCTTTGTGAGGTTACGAAGCGAGTTGATGCGGACGCTAAAGTCCTTGAAGTACGAGTACTGGTCGATGGGTGTTGCCCAATCCTTTGTTGCTCCTCCGAAGAATCTGTGTACGAGTATCAATGAAGCATTCGGTATGTTTGTCAGTGGACTGGTTCGCAAGTCTGAGCCATCGCCCTCTGCCACCCCGCCTTCGTCGGCGAAAGGGAGAAAACTTACGTGGAGAACAAGATGCCCTTGATGCTCGCCGGCCAGTAAACCTGATCGTAGTAGATCGCCCTGACGTTGTTGACGGTGATATCGACGGTACCGTTCGGATGGGACTTGTTCGTGGACAGGGTGATGGTCTGGGAGATGTTTGTCCACCCACCTATCGTATAGTTGAAAGAACCTCTGCCGAGGGATCTATTGCGCGGAAGACGCAAATCAAGCGAAACAAATGTCCGACTTCAGTCAGTGTTCTGTACTGTCTTCAACCTCGGAAACGGATTGTGTGTACTTACATCCCATAGTCCGAATTCACATAGCTGTACGGTGGGACCTGCAACATGGCCGTCAGATTCTGCCTGTCCTGCGGCAGATACGCATACAGCTCCCCCATCCCACCCGTCCTCCACGCCATCCTCGTGCTCCAACAATCGCTCGCGTCGTTCCCCCCACCGCATCCCTCCGTACCTCCGTAGAGCCCTGGGAGCTTGCCTCCCATGACAAAGTTGTAGCCGGCAGGGAAGAAGACAGAGTAGTTAAAGGTGATGGAGGAGGCGAGGGTGAGGTCGAAGGGCGTGAGGGCGTAGAACTGCGTTCCGCCGACGGGCTGAGCGGAGGGTGTGTACGAGTTGGCTGGGTAGAAGATAGATAGCACGCTCCCCGGTAGGCTTGATTGAGTGGCCAGGATGGGGTAAGCTGGGGTTGAGGTCGACCTGTCGCTGGTGATGATGGCGACGGGAGAAGAAGAAGATTTCGTTCCGCTCGATCCGCTGTTGGTAGCGGGTGCTTGTCTACGGGTTTGTCTCCTGCTGGTCGACGTGCTCGAACTACCCGAACTAGACCTCCTCTGCCTCAATGCACTGCTAGGCAGCCCTCCCGTCAAAACCTTATTGTTCGCTTCCCCCGAACTGTAATACTCGATGCTGAAATCGTTCAGATCCGTAAAGTTGCGAGCTTGCTGCCACACCGCACCCTGGGTAGTCCTGGCTTTGCGCGCCTGCGTTGCATTTTGATCGAAAACCCCTGTTGGTGACGCGGAGGAGGTCTTCGAGTGGTGTTGTGTGAAGTACACCGGAAAGAAGATGACGACAAAGAGGAGGACGAGGAGAGTTATCGGCAGGAGGATCAGGAGCAAGAGCTTGCGTCGTGTACATCCTCTGCGACGCCTGGAAGAGTGGGTCTCGAGGTCCGAAGGAAGAGACTTGAATTCATCTGCGACCAGGTAGTCGTGCTGTGGTGAGAGAGAGAAGGAGGCAGTGCTTGGACGAAGGTCGTGATTCTCCATCATTGCGAGTTGTGTTGACATTTGCTTTTGGAGGAAGAAAGCAAGGGGCGTATGCTAGTCACCGCGCGATGGGGAGGACGGAGGGCATGTTTGTTCACCCTACAAGTCGATCGTGATGGATCTTATATCCTCCTCTCCCTCCTTGTGCAACTCGCACATCTATCCAGAGCTGAGAGCCATAGCAACCCGGACACCATAGATGTCTCACTCCCCCCGCCGGTTTCGGCGTATCAATCCAACTCCGTCGTTTCCCCCTCTCTCCCCTCCCACGTGCATGCCACTCTCTTGCGTTTCCCCTCTCATTCCACCAACAACTCCTCCCTCATCCTACACCTAACCTCTGCTCAGCCAATCACCCCGAAGAGCCTACCAGCGTACTGTATCCTTCATCCCTCTCGACAGCATCTGTCCTAAACCCCGGATCGCTTTCCTGCAGCTGTCAAGCACCGCATCACAAAAAACACACATATACACAGCAGATTCGCTCCACCGCGTCTGAATTTTCGCTCGATTCGTCGGAGTTCAAACCTTCAACCCTCGTCTGCCTAGCCCAGCTTCCAGAAGCTCTCTGCTCAAAGAGCCGTTCTTGTTCATGCAGAACCCAGCCCACTCAACACCACACACACAAATGCTTTCTCTCCGCCTCCACTCCTCAAGCCTTCACCCTGCCCGGAACAACAGCCATTGATCAGCGACTTTCAGCCATGATTCTTAGCTCAACGCGCAGCTCAACTCACAGCCACGCTACCCACCACCTTTTCAGGTACACGTTCAAACTGCATTGAGACGAATCATGGTATGATGCATTGAAAGAAAAACTTGGATATGTAGATGCAGATGATATGATGCGACAAATGTCGTGGGGAAATGGAGTATGCAAATGCAAGAAATGGCAAGGTACTACTGTGTATATGAATGCGAAAGCGTCGATATGAATTTACTGGGAATCGTCAGCTACTGTTGAGCTCGCCCGGCTTGCGACGCTCTTAATCAGGACATGTATCCTGAAAGAATGTTTCCGGTGGTCCCTGCTCTAAGCAAAGGTCGTCGCGCACCACCGAGCGAGCCCATGCGTGGCTGCAGGATCATGGCAGGCTTGCGACTGCCAGCGGCAGCACATGGAGAATCGCCAATACCGTCTTCGAACGACGAATCACCGACACTGCCAAAGCTGGTATCACCTGCGGTTGCCGCTGCCGCTGCCGCTACTGCCGATGTCGTGTTGTCAGCCGAAAGCTTGGTTGTGCCAGTGCGGTGTCCCATCTCTACTGCAGCCAGAGTGCGAGGGCCGAGCTTCATCGATGCAGCCACAGGACAAGGCGATTCTTCCATCATCGAAGTCGGGTCTTCCTCCTCCTGGATCGAGTGTCGTGCAGTGGCGCCTGTCGAGACGGCATGTTGAATTTGAGCCTGCCTTTTGCCCTCGCCATATGTGAAGCTGCGATGACGCGAGAATTGCTTTCTAAAGCCGTGAAGCTCGGCCGACCTCTTTGCCAGGAAGCGCGGGTCGTCCATGCAAATGTACTGCTGAGGCTCGCAAAGATTGGCGTACGACTGGAAAAAGTTGCAGTAGCCGCCCTGAAGAATGTAGATCTCGGGAAAGTGGCAGTTGGGATAGTCGTGCGCCAGACCTCGATCGGCCTGTCGCAAAGCCAAGGCCATGCTTGGTGCTCGCTTGCAGCTGAACTCGCAGTGGAAGACGAGAACGTGCTTTCGGCGATTGCCAAACTGGTCGGCTTTGCCGCTCTGCGATCGTGGAGGAAGTTGCTGGCCGTTCGCATGACGGCCTTGACCGGGTTTGAGGAAGTGATCGACGACGCGTTCGATCGTGCTGAGATTGATAGCACCGGGGATGTGACCACCCTCGTACTCGTAGCCGAAGCGGCAGTCGACGACTTGGTAGCTCATGATGGCGTTGGCGTATTTGCCCGCGAGCAAATTTGTCATGGTCTGAGGTGTGATCCTCATCAGTCCGTCGTCCTTGACATTGAAGCAGGGGAGCACCTTGCCCTCCTTCTCAGATGTGCCGAAGCCGGGCAGGCTCTCGGCGCTCGCAGGCGAGTTGGCGTAGGCGGGGTCAGCGAGGGCCAGGTCGTCGACCATGGACTCGTTGCCCCGTGAGCTGCTGCGCTTCATGCCCGTGCCGTACGCCAGAGGAGAGCTGTCGTCCTTGCTGCCGCGGCGCAGAAAGTTGGGACGCGTTCGTGCTCGCATGGCGGGCGCGATGGGCGAGCCATTGGCAGACGCCATTTCGCTGTGACCGGAGAAAGGCGGACGACGGCGATCGGGAGAGACAGGGGAGTCGACAGATACGCTTCTGTCGTTGGCGCTCAGCTTAGAAGAAGCTGGGCCGCCGAGAACGGAGCTGTGGTCAAAGGCAGACAAGCACCGGCGTGGCGCAGGAGCCGTGGGGCGTGCGACTCTGTTGGTCTGCCCGCTGATGCCGAGGACCGGATAGGCGCTTTTGACGGCGGATTGATCGTTGGTCAGCGAAGGACGCTTGACGTAAGGGTTGGCGCGCTTGCCGAGGGTGGTACGAAGAGCGCCGACGCCCGACCCTGAGCTCGAGCCAGACGCAGCCCGCGGTACGACCGCCATGGTGTTGGCACGCTCAAAAGTGCGCGCACCCAACGATGTGGTGCGTTTGGGTGGGGGCATCCTGGTGCAAGGAGACGACTCAGGGGGAGAGGACACGAGGCTGGGAGAAGCAGCCTCGCTGGACATGGCAGCCAGCAGGTTCGGACCATCGACAGGTGGCATGCCGTGCCTGCTTCCAAGCTTTTCGGGCGAAAGCGGGTCGTAAAAGTAGCCAGCCATGGTCCCCGAGAGCGAGTTCATCGACGGCGAGGGAGACGGGTTGCTGTCATCGGCGTCGGCGTCGTCGTCTTCCAGCGGCAAGGTCTGGCGTGCGCCGAGCTTGATAGCTACATCGTCAAGAAAAGACTTTGCGGAGCCGGAACGAGAGGATGGCTTGCTGAGGCGACCATCAGATCGGAGACCTGATTCGGAAAGACGTTCCCGCGCAGCAAAGCTTGAAGCTCGGCTTGAGGAGGAAGAGGGAGCGCCAAAGGAAGCGCCACGATCGGCAAAAGTGGCCGAGAGCGCTGGCCTAGGTCTGACGGATGCAACGCCCATGAGCGCGGAGGAGAGCTGAGAGATGCGCTCGTTGGCCTCGCTCTGCCTTGTGGGAAGCGAGGTGGGTCTGCGCTTGGGAGGAGGCTCCTTGTCTGGGCTGCTCATAAGGTCGTGTTCGTGAGCAAAGATGCGTTGCGAGTTGAAGGCAATCTCTGCGCCGAAAAGGCGCGAAGACATGGAATGAGCGAGCTGGAGGGAAGATTTGCGCTCAGCGGCGATAGGCCTGGGACGAGTGGAACCACCTAGGACGGGATGGAGTCGGTCTCTGCTGCTCGAAGAGGCGCTGGCACTCGCACCGACGTGGATGTTGTCCATAAGCTTGGGAAGCGCATCCGAGGGAGAGGGGCGGAACTGCGACAGATGGATTGCATTGGGTGCCGGAGAGATGTCCATATCTCTGGGTGAGCTCATCTTTGCTGCGAGACCAGGAGAGCGGGCGTGGAGGGTGGTTCCCATGGCGGCACCAAGCGAGGTGGCATGGCGCGGTGAAGGGCGGCCGAGGATGTGGTGATGCGGCTTGGTCGTTTCTGGGACGAGTTTATCAAAGTAGGATGGTTGGTCATGGGTGGCCGAAGCGAGAGTGGGAGCAAGGCCGAGATCGGCACCGAAGAGCAACTGCTTAGGAAGGAGGCTTAGAGTAGGAAATGGATTCGAGCCATGCTCGTCAAGTGAATCCGAGATGGACATGGAGGAGCCAAAGGACTTGTCAAAGTCGGCAGGAAGATCATCGTTGGCATAGCACTTGGGTGAGCTTGGCTGCTTGAAGAGGTCGAACTTGGGCGCGGGTGCCAGCGGTGACGAGAGAAGAGTCGCCATGACGAGGTGCCGAATCAGGCTAGATGGGAAGCGACGCGAGGGCTGGGGCTGAGCGTGTCCGGAGGAAAAGAGATGGCTGGAAGACCAATACTACGCCGGCATGGGAGGAGATAAAGCGAGATCTAGATGGTGCACAGGTGAGCGGAGTGTAGTCGGGCTGGGGATATGCCAAAGACAAGACACATGCAGCCAGTCGAAGGATGGCGAGGCGAGTTGTCGAGTTGAATCTGCTGCTGAGGACGGCCGAGTGCCTTGAGATGTGCAAGATGGAGCAGTGGACCGAGAAGGAGGATGGTGAGAGGACGAGGCCGGGATAGTCGAGGTGGATGAGGGGATGCCGAGGAGCCTTGAAGGAGATGGAGCAAAGTAGGACGAGGAAGGGTAAGGTGGAGAGGATGGATGGATGAAGCAAGACGAGATGGATGAGGACTTGGTCAAGTTAGCCAATGTCGTCGAGCAGCTGAGTGGGAGCACGAGGATGAGAGAGGCGAGGCGCAAAGCAGACCAGAAAGAGAGATTGCGCTCCAAGCGAGATCTGTCAAACTGTGTGACTGAAGAGAGAGTGGAGAGACAAAGTGTCTGTAGAGTTGGTGTCTCGGGCTCTGTGTCTGTGTCTCTCGTTCTGATGTGACGGTAAAAATTAAGCGATTAAAAGTCAAGCCATCCGGCCATGAAGGCGCAAAAGAGCTCCAGATAAGTGTGACATCCCAAAATGAGCAGTTGACCAGCTTCGAGGCAGACCAACAGAGGAGCGTTTGATGATACTGTCACTTGGACATGCATGCAACCCAAATCTGTCCAAGCCCAAGAGTCTCTCTCTCTCTCTCTCTCTCTCTCTCTCT